CGGCTGAAGAGCTAGAGGATGTGTTGGAAGATTGGGGATTAGAATCGGATGGATTAGAGGATTTCCAAGCTTCTGGAAGTGATAGGAGAGATTTAGTAAGGTTAGAAAGAGTATTGTCTTCAGAGTCTGTTGCTTTAGGAGCTTCTGGAATTTTCATTGTTTTGAGGAATTCATTTTCAGGATCCTTGCTTTCTACTTGTTGCTTCAATTTTTCAATGAGATCTACAAGGTTCTTTCTATCCTTTTCCCATAAATTTTCCATCTTGGAGTATTTCTCTTTCTGTTCATCTAATTGAGTGCACTTTTCAGAGTATTTTTCAATGTTTGCTCTCAATTGCTCTTTCAAAACCTGTTTAGATTCTCTCAATTTCAATTTTCTTTGTACATTCTTTTCCACAAGAACACACAAATTCTCTACAGCACATTCGAGAACTACCAATTTTCTCTGAATACTACCTTTTAATTTTCCAAAACTATACTCAGACTCTACCTCTTCTTCTTTCAAATGTTTAATTCTATTCTCAATAGCTTCCGATCTACTATCAATGTCAATTACTTTTCCAAATCTATTCAAAACGTCGGAAATCATTACACTAATTCTAGTTTCAATTATTTCCTCACTTTTAACTGATGTTCCCTGATCAGTAGTAGTACTATTACTAGCATTATTTGTTAAATTAGAGTTCCCTATTTTCTGACTTTTCAATTGTCACTGGTTTTTCTTGTTGAATTTTAATTTCTGAAATTGCATTATTTTGATTAACTTGATCGGTTTCGTCTTTGCTATAGTCTTCATCGCTCCACGAAAATTCAATGACTTCCTCATCATCTTTAACTTGTTCTTCCTTCTTTTCAATGACGGATTCAGTGGATGCAGTTATTGTTGTTGCTGATGATAAATCAACATTGATTGATTCCTTTTCCGGTTCATTTTGTACAGTCTCTGTCTCAGATTCATTCAATAATTTCTCAAATTCATCATCATTGATAGCATCAGTAACAGATTGATCATGGCCTATGGTTTCATCATCCTCAAGACGGGAATTTAAAAAATCATCAAACATGTCCTCTCCAGCATCCAAATCACTCATTTTTATTAATAATTATTGTGTGATGTCATCACGAATATTTAAAAATTAATTTAATGATTGATCCGATTGATTATCACAAAGTCAATCAGCAATTATAACTTAAGAGAATATTTAGATAAAACATTTATTTACCAGTGAAGCATATTCAAGTCTGTAAAGAGGCGAAATTAAAAAGTTAGATATTAATAAAAAATGTCTACAGAGAAGGAAACCAGTTTGCCATCAAGTTCACAAATCAAAACCAAGATTCGGAAACAAATAATCAAGGAGGAGAAGAGAATGTAACTCTCCGATCATCACATAGAATATTAAATGTAAATGTTGGAATTTTAGGTTTGTTTCTCAATTCTAATATCAATTCTTATTTCAATAATAATAGGACATGTTGATTCTGGTGAGTTTTTAATGAAATTTATTCTAATGATTTATTTGAAAGGAAAAACAAGTTTATGTAAAGCTCTGTCAACTCACGCTTCAACAGCAGCCTTTGATAAAAGTCCTCAATCAAAAGAAAGAGGTATTACTCAAGATTTGGGTTTCTCTGCATTTTACTCTGATTCCCCATTATCTGAATATGATAGGATTCAATATACTCTTGTAGATTGTCCTGGCCATGCCAGTTTAATTAGAACAATTATTGGTGGAGCTCAAATTATTGATTTCATGGTATTGGTTATTGATGCTGTGAAAGGTGTACAAACTCAAACAGCTGAATGCATTGTTATTGGAGAAATTTCATGTAATAATTTAATTGTTGCCCTCAATAAGGTCGATATGATTCCAGCAGATCAAAGAGAGGACCGTGTTGATAAGGTCAGTAATTTCAAAATATATTTAGGAAATTAATTTTCATTACAGATTAAGAAAAGTCTCATTAAGAATGTCTTTTCCCAAACTAAATTTAAAAACCCTCCAATTGTTTCTGTTTGTGCTGATCCAAGAGAAGAAAGTGAAAGTATAACAAAGGAACAAGGACTTAAAAATCTCATTGCTGAATTCCAAAAACATGTAAAAATTTCAGAAAAGGATGAAAATGAGCCATTCCTATATATGGTTGACCACTGTTTTACAATCAAAGGAAAGGGAACTATTATTACAGGAACTGTTTTGCAAGGCAGTGTTAGTATTGGTAAAACAATTCAAATTCCTTCTATTGGGGAGGAAAAGAAGGTCAAATCCATCCAAATGTTTAAAACACCTGTAGATAAGGCAATTAAAGGAGATCGAATTGGTATTGCAGTTACAAAATTGGATAGCAAAAAGCTGGAGAGAGGTTTTGCATGTGACAAAGGCTATATTGAAATTGTTGACACAATTCTAGCAAATGCTTCTAGAATCAGATTTTTCAAGAAGGAAATCAAAAACTCTGCAAAATATCACAGTATGTATTCTAGTAATCATTTCTGTACTAATTGAAATAGTATCTATTGGGCATGAAACTGTTATGGGAAATGTTTCCCTTATCGCCAGAGCCAAGAAAGAAGGCCTTTCAAGTAACATATTCGATACAACGGTAGAGTACTCTTTATTGGAGGAATTGACCGAAACAACTTATCAAGAAAAAGATGTTTTTGTTAAAATTGAATTTGAAAAACCAGTGTGTTGCTATCCAAACTCTAATTATATTGCTTCCAAACTGGATACAGATATCAGTAAGTTTTTTACGATCATCTTTTCTAACACAAATAGATGCGAATATGTGTAGATTGGCATTCAATGGTAAAGTTATCAAGATGTGGAACAAATCCAATGTTTCCAAAGAACAGCTTGTCAACTCTCTTCCTGTTTTTAAATACAAGGAAAAGAAAGCTGTAGTTGATAGAGTTGTTGATGCCAACACAATTATTGGAAAAAATCTTCTCACTTCCAAAACTCAATCACTGCAATTTTTCATTGGAAAGAAGATTGATATTCTCATTGATGACCAACCAAGATTTTCAGGTATAATTGATTCACCATTTGGCCAGAGTGGCAAATTCAAGGTTGTATTCAAAGATCCCCTTCCAAAACAACCAAATTTAAGAAATAAGGTTATTTCTTTCAGATACAAGATTAATATTTATGATGAATCCAAAACATGGCACCAATAAATCTGTTGTGATGATTTGAGACTTTAATGAGAGTTAAACATAAGGAATGCATTCGATTCGGTAACGAATCCATGTGGCAAGTAACGAAGCTAAAAGTTGTAGATGGATAATATCTACGGCTGCCGATGATTCATTTATGAATTTTAATGGGGAACTGTTATCTCAGTTTTTATTTTGGTTGTTCCAAAATGTTAATGGCTACCAAATTCGATATCACATTTCAACAACAGTCAAAACATGAAATAACACTTGGAGGTTTGAGGTAACAATTCCACATATTGTTAGTTTCAATTCTGTGGTCAGAACACTTTGCATCTTTAACAAGCTAGTGCTTTTGGACATTTCACACCTTGTGAAATTCACCTCTTAACTGCAGCAAAAATTGCCATTTTCGTGGTGCAAGTTCATTGCCAAAGCTTCACAAACAAGGTTTGGGTGGAAGAATCGAATAAAGACGCAACCAAGTGTTGTTGAAACGATTCATTCAAAAAATAAAAAACAATGAGACACTCCACATCACAAAAACACACCATCCATTTCATTATAGTTTTACTGGTGGCACTTGCTTCCCTTGTAGCCACTTTGAATGCTCAGATAACTGTTTCACAAGATTTCACAGATGCCATCGATTATGCAGTCAAGCTAATGTTGAAAGACAGTTCTTTCACATCAAAATATGAGGAATTGATGGGGTTGGCTAATCCTCTCTGTGGGTCTGGTCTCACTGCCTTCCCAACTAAAAACCCTTTCGTTGGAAGAACAAATTTAACAATGTGTTTTGAAGATGACGCTGTCTATCCATATTCAGAAGTTTTTCACTTGGTTGGAAAGTCAATTGTTTCATTAATTAATACAAATTACAAGACTAATCTTGCATATGCATATAGAACCTATAACTTGGCTGCTTTGGGCTTCTTTGAAACTATGGCAAAAGCTGTAAATAATGGTGAGTGTGATGTTGTGACATCAAATGTTGGTAAGTTTAATTTTAGAAAGTTAAATAGTTAAATAAGTAATTCATCACATTTGTAAATTTTATTCACAACAGCTCAAAACGAAGCAAGAGAGCAAAAAGCACACTTTCAATGTAATTATGGATACTCTTCTCCTGCGTATATGAGATCTAATTTGGACCCAAGTATTTCAACACCAACTGCTCCACAATTGAATAGAACTGATGTTAAAATTGGATTTTTGAAAGGAACCATTTATCAAAATACAGTTCAAACTCAATTTTCTGGAGCTCAACTCGTTCCTTTTGGTGACTATACCAGCTTGTATGCAGCTGTTTCTACAAATGTCACAGTTCATGCCATTGTTGGTGATACCATTGAGTTTAAGCAATTCCTTAAACTCAACACAACTGGTTGCACTAATTGCACCGTTAGACTCTTCTCTGATCCATACCTCTTTGGAACCATCACTACAAGGAATATTGGCAGAGTTTCTCTAGGCATTTCACTTTTCCAAGGTTTTGGCACTCTCATTCTTTCAATTTTGCTTTCATTGATTTATTTAATGTAAATAAAAATATTAAATCAGAGTAATTTTTCAAAAATCGCTTATTCTTAGATGACATTTTGTTAGAAATATTATAATATTGTTTCATGTTCTTGTCTATTCAAGTGATGAACATGAAGACACAAAGGGCCATAAGCATGGCTTCGGAATAAAATTCAATTTCATAAAACGCGTTGTAAAAAAAAATATTTTTGAAAAATGGCTGGACCACCAAAAGTGAGCAAGAAGACTGAGCAAGTAAGTTTTTTAACGGAATGTTGTTATTGATGGAGTACTTCAATCGTTCTTGTGATGACGCTTATTATTATGTTGTTATAATTGTATTGAATTATTGGATAATTTGTATCATTAACGAATACTTGTATGCGGAATGTTGTTGTTCTTGTAGAAACAAAAAAACAAAATTATTGAAGACAAGACCTTTGGTTTGAAGAATAAGAACAAATCAAAGACCGTTCAAACCTATGTTAAGAGTGTTTCCAACACTGTTAACCAAGTCCATGACAAGAAAGTCAAGCAGGAAATGGCAGAAAAGGAAAAGAAACGTCTTGAAAAGTTGGCTCAAAAGAAGAGAGAACAAGAATTAAAGGATTTGTTCAAAACTATTGATGGTAAGAAGGATGAAAAGGCTGAAGAAGCATCAACAGAAGAAGGACAAGAAGGTGAAGAAGTTACCTTTGATTCCCTTGAACAAGAAATGGCTGATGAAGCTGAACTTTCTATTGAAGAAATTGTTGAAAAGGAAAGAGCCAAGATTATGGATGGTACACCTGTTACATATGAATCCTTCACTAAATGGAAGCAATTCAAGGTTGAACAACAAAAGAAGGAAGAAGAAAGAAAACGTAAATTACAAATGGCTCTCTATGAAAAGTCTGGTCAAGGTTTGTCTGGTCGTGAATTGTTCAAGATGAATGAAGCTCTCTTCGTAGATGACGAAGAAGCTGATGAAACCGTCTATGAAATTCCAGAAGATGCTATCGATGAAGATTTGTTCTTGGAAGGTGATGATGAGGAAGAAATTAGTGAAGAAATTGATGAGGAATATGATCCATCTTCTTGGAAGGAAAAACAAACTCCAAAGGAACAATTATTGAACTATACACAATCTAGAAAATACCCAGATGCTAAATATGAAAAGCTTCCAAAACAAAATCCACAAGAAAATGGTGAAAGAATCTCAGTAGTTATTGAAAAACCAATCAAGAAGGAATTCATGTTGTCAAAATTATTCCCTAGTCGTAAACTGGCTGAACAAAATGCCTCTCTTGTTGCTTTGCGATTTTTACAAAAGTACGAAGAAAAACAAAAGGAAAAGGCAGCAACAGCATCATCATCAAACGAATAGATTTGGAGTTTAAAATATAATTCGAGTTTTGGCATTTTCTAATATTTTTAGTCAACCAATGATTTTAATTGCTTTCAGAGAGAAAATATTGTAAATTGAAACCATCCCAATCCAACAAATAAAACCTTAGTTGACTGAATTTTATATTAGTTGTCCCTGTATTTATTTTTTGGTAGTTGGAAGATAAGGTGGAGCGAATGCAGCATCTCCTGCTTTGAATTTTGTTACAAAATCATCTTGAGGCAAGTGATAATGGAATAATCCTCTCATCAAAATTACAGAGTCGACGTGATCAGTCCAACACAACAAGTAACGAATATATCTAGTCCAGAATAATACATCCTCTGCTGTCACTTCAACCTCACCAGAAACTGTATCGTCAACATCCAAGTTTTTAAATTCAACACCACCACAATAGAAATTTCTCCAAACAACTTCTGCAATCAAAGAATCTTGATCTGAAGAATCCTTAATAAGTTCTGATAAAGTTTTTGGATCCCATGAGGAAGGAGCAGAATCAGTTGTGTTGGCAGAATTTTCCAAATCAAGAATTTCATCCAATTGAATACAAATACCGTAGTGAATTTGTTGGAGTCTCTTTAAATTCTTTGGAAGAGTATATGCATTAACCTTATAAGTATCATTAATGTAATGTTCAACATAATTCCAAAATCTATCACACAATTTCTTTGACATTAAATCGCCATCACTTCCTTCAAAACGTAATCTTCTGAAAATTACCCACAAATGTAAAGTCCAAACGAAAAAGTCTGAACCAGTCCAACTAACATTACCAAGATTAACTTTTTCATAAATTCCACTCTTTCTAATAGCATTGATATGATTTAATATCATGTTCCAGACAAAGTCAGTGGATCTGTTAATAATTGATTCTTGTCCAAAGAAACCAAGAAGTCTTAATGCAAGAGGTTGATTTTCAGTTCTAAATTGACTAACAGCACTAGGTGTAACCCAACTAACATTGTATTTCTTTGGCATATTACCATCTTTAATATCCTTTTCTATTTCTTTTTGAATTCGGAGAGGTTCATAACGATCAACTAGAAAACGAATATCTTTAATATAGGCTTTTAAAAATGGTCTAAAAAGAGCATTATAATTTTGAAGAACTTCTTCATCTGTTTCTTCCTTCTTCTTTACGTAATTCAAGTAATATTGTCTCTGATTTTCTAATTCCTGATAAATAACATCCATGCTTTTTGATGGTGTTCCTTCGCTTGCTTGTTTAAAACAATTATTAGCGTGGAAGGAATTACATGACGGATTCCAAAATAATAAACCCGAAGGGGTGTGATGATGATTAAATTTTCTGAGTGCAAATCTTGTTGATTGTTGAAGCATTTTTTATTTCTAAGAATTTAAATTATTAATATTTAATTTTCGGCATACTGAAATGAATCTGCTATCACAGAGATTGTTCCTTTAATTTATTTTCATATTCTTGTAATTGTTTGATGAATCCTTGATTTGGTTGAACAATAGGTCTACATCTCTCAACTATTGAAAGTGCATTATTGAAATCTAATTTCATATATTTCATTAGAAAAGCAATTACAATTGATGAACTTCTAGAAACACCCATTGCACAGTGCACATACACAATTCCAGAATTTTCCAAAGCAGAGGAAATAAATTCAAAAGTCTCGGAAAAGTATTGTTGAATTTCTGTCTTGTCGTTATCAGCAAAATTTAACTGAAGATATTTGAAATTATCAGGAAAAGGAACAATTGATGAATAATAAAGGAAAGGACTTCTTATCTGCACTACATGTGTGATTGAGTGTTCTTGTAATGATTCTAGACAATCAGCTCCTAGTTCGTTTCCGAGATAGAGCTTTCCAGGAAGGATACAATCGATATCATTGAATGAAAACATTTTTTTAAAGTGTATCATCTATTCTCGGCACCAATGCACCAATGGGTATTTCTTCTCTCGCAAAGCAATCCATTCTAAATTTGCACTAGAATTTACAAATACTATTCCTTCATGTAATTTTTTCTTAATTCCATTCTCTTTTCAAATCGTTCTTGCTTTCTTTGAGTTGCCTTATTGTGACGAAGTAAGGTCAAATATTGAGAAACTAGAGGGCTTGATTTTTTGCTGTGTGAATAGGTTTTAAAGGTTCCTAGTGTTTTCACTTGTTTAATATTTGTAACAAGCGTTTTAGTTGTTCCTTCACCCATTTCATACCAAGCTTTCTCTCTGACAGCAGCTATTTCCTTGATATCTTTAGAAGGAAGAGGTTTGGCAAATATGTTCTTTTCCTTCTTTTCTTTTAATATTTGAAGTTCAATAAATAGCTCTTCATCCCTATCGTCACATTCAATAATTTCATTCAATTCTTCTTCTTTAAGAGTAGCTCCAGAAGTGAACGCCTCCATAATTTGCAACCTTTTGTTTTGTTTTCTAATTGCTGCAAATTCAGATTCATCTTCAAAAAACATCTCAAATAAATTGTAGGCTGGTGAATAATCATTATATTCAAGGTTATCCAATGCCTTTTCTAATTCTTCTCTCACTTCCTTTGTTTTAACAATACTTTCATTGTAACCAACTCTGACAGCTTGGATAGCTCTCTTGAATCTTTGCTTTGGAGATAGAGAATGCTCATCCCTTACATAGGGAGGTGATTTCAACTCCATTTTAAACATCCATAAGGTGTCAAGAAATGGTAAATTAATGGTACAGACACCAAAACACCACAATTGAAATTGTCTCGCTACTCTTGCTTGAAACGCTTCTGTTTCGAATATTTCATGACAATCTGGAAAATTTAACCCATAAGCAAGAAAAACAGATTTCGAAATAACCTCAATAAATATATCATCCAAATCAAGTTGTATATTTGTCTTGATGGTGTAAGATCTGTGAGTAATAAATTTAACAACAAGCTCTGCATAATTATTAGAAATTCTATTTTCAATGGCAGGTAATTCTCCTAAAAGTTTCTTATAAACTTGGTTTGCCCAATTCTCTCCTTTCTCTTTGTAAACTTTGTGTTGTTCCTTTCTTAGGAAAAAGTTATTCTTTTCTTTTCTCTTCTCCAACTCCTTCTCTATCATGTACTCGTAATATTGAACTGCTTTTCTTAAAAGATAATCCTTTGAAAATACAGTCAAGAAAAACCACCAAAAAGAGTCAATTAGTATCGATTGATTTTGCTCTGTCAAAAATAAGTCATTAAACTGAATTCTATGTTCTGAATTAGTGTAATCTGAGAAGAGAGAAGGGAAATATAGTATGAGAGTCTTGTTCAACACATATTTTGGATTTAGGGGTCTATTTCTTGGAAATTGAGGATTATTAAAATCAGAAGGAAATCTGCAATTTTCAATATTTTCTGTTTGGGGGGAAAAGAGAAAATCTGGAAGTAAATGAACTTGTTTAGGAGGGCTTGGAATGAAAAAACTATCCATAGACTTTAAGGAAACTTCCGTAAGAAAGGTACCAGTTGAACTTCCCGAACTTTTCATTCTTCTAGCATTAGGATCTGTAAATGAAGGTTGTTTCGAGAGTCTTCCTTTAATTGATGGTGGTGTTGGAGGAAGTGATGAGTTTGAAGAAGGAGAAATAGGAATGGAAAGGTCACCTTGTTGTCTTCTGACTTCCTCTAATAGTGGAGAGGGTGAAAGATTAGATGATGTTGGTGATGATACTGAGACAATGGTTGGGAGTAATTCTGTAGGTATTTCTTTGAGAGATCTATTTGAATACCCTCTCTTTAGCCTTGGAGGTGTTGGGGACCTAATCTCAGGTCCTACTGTTAATCTGTTCCTAAATGAAAAGTGGTGAATAAAAGAGTGCACCTCTTTCCAACAATTCAGCTTCTGATGCCTCTCCCGGCTCAAAGCCATCATTTTCACTTTCAAAAGGTTTAGAAATTAGAAGGACCGGTGATTCAAGTCCCATTTCTGTTGATGGTGATGCACTCATCGATCTCTTAAGCACGGGAGATAACCTCCTGTTAGTTGGAGTGGAGAGAATATCACCATTGGAAATGGTTCTTGGTTGATTTGCTAATAGTGGAGGAAGTTGTTTTGATGTACTTCCTCCTCCTCTTCTATCAAATTCATATTGTACTATTGGTGGTGCCTCAATTCTCAACTTCCGAAAAGATTGCTTTGAATTTTCCTCATTATTGTTACCATCGAATGATGATGATTGAGGGAAAGCTGTTGAGGTTGATGCGAGCATTTTTTTGACGCCATTCATTCAAAGGAAGTTAAGTTGTGAGATTATCGATACGGATTATTAATGTCATTCTTAATTTAATAAAGACGAACCTCAAAATGCTTTGCCAATATAATTTTGAACAATGATGATTTTGATCATTATCACCATCTTTAAAACTCTTTTACCCTGTACACAACAACTGCAGTTAGGAGTTGACCCATAGTATTCAAGAATTTCATTACCTGACACATCAAGAGTACATATAAATAATAGAATGGGCTCTAAATCTGTAAACGATGATATCAATCCAACAGTTATCGTCTTGACATTTTCTAGAGTTAATTTTTGAACTTCTGGTATATCGGTTCAGAAATGATCTTTCACACTTGATCTTATCAATCTAATTGAACCATTATCAATGTACGTGGCGAGAGAATCGAGAGAATCATGAAATTCTTTATCTACAAACACTCTAATAAAATACCTGTCAAATAGTAAGTCTTTTGCAGCACTGTATTCAACAATTTTGCAATTTGGCCAGTTGACCATACTTGTTAGTTTGTCCTTTGCTGTTTGTGAATAACCTTGGAACTCTTGGCTTTCTTTCCCACATACAAAGTGGTCCTTTACCATTCCATCAAAAAAAAGTTGGTCCTCACGAAGGAAGCGATGTTTAAGAGTTGTTATACTCACAATGTGAAGCTGAAAAGGAAGGCTTGAATTCAGTGAGGGGTGGAAATTTTTCAAGGTGAACAACTTTCCTTAACTCTTTGGTCATTTTTTTTGAATTGTTTAACGATTCCAAAGTTGGTACTTCTTGTCGTATGGCAATAAATATTCCCATTAATAGTTTACTTCTTTTGTTTTTTTAAAGATGATTCGTCATTATCTGATGACGAGCTTGTGGTAGTTGTCTTTGATTCTTCTTGTTTTCTCTTCTTTGAAGTTGGAAGCCAATCAATTTCTTCATGACCTAACTCTTTGAGATGTTTGTTAATGTCTGAAAATGAGTTCACATCGTGGAATGATTCTACAGCTGGATGGTTAGCCTCTTTAATTTTCAATTAGATTGAACTAATTCTACCTAAACTTACCGACAAATTTAACAGTTTTACCCTCCTTCTTGGCAATATTATTGATCGTGGTCTTTAACTTTTTAGCAATTCCTCCCCAAAGTACAAATACAATTCCCTTCTCAGTTGCTTTCAAAACTACTTGTAAAATTCCTTCAATAATTGGTTTCCAGAATTTAGTATGCTTATCCAAGTCAGTTTTCTCCTTTCCACTAAAAGTCAATGCAGTATTGAGCCACAGTACATTTTGTGACATGGTATCTTCAAACCATTGTGGTGGAGGAAGTAATTTCAACTTTTCAATTTTACTTCTCAATGCTTCCACTTTATCAGAAGTTTTCAATTCATCAGCACTGATCAAAACATTTTTAATGATATTTCTAAATGAAGGAGACATGGCATCTGACCACTTTTTAATTTGACCATCATAAAAAGCAACACCAATTGCACTTTCTTCTCTCGGATATGGATCTAGTGATGATAATCATTATTAAAGTAAATAATCACACAACTACATTCAAACATACCTTGTCCGAAGATGACAACTTTGCAATCAGAGACTGATTTCATATCATTTAGTGCTCTGAAGGTATTTTCAAGTTTAGGAATAACATCTTTACTTCTTGTGGTACCAATAAACTTTTCAGCATCTTTTTGTTTTTTAATGATTTCAGGGAGATTGGTTGTTCTCCAAGATTCATTCAATAACTTTTCCATATCCAATGATGATGACATTTTTTCTTCTTGATTTTCCACAATTATTGAGAAAATGAAATTGTAAGTGACTCAATGGTTTTGAGAACATTGAAGGAACTGCTAATCATACACATTCCAATTCTTGAAGAATTACAATCATTTAAATAATATAATAATTCAATTTCAGGTCAATTTTAAATCTCCCACTGTTGTCCATTGCTGAATGGTGAAGCAATCAATTTAAAAGATGAAAAATTAATTGAACAAAAAAATTGAACAATTTTAGCTGGTGAGTATTGGTGTATAAAACCCTTGTTTTTCTAATGAGTTTTTTGAATCGGATTCTATATCAACATAATCATCATCTCGATATTCCTCATTACCACACTTTAAACCGATTTTTGATAATCTATAGGAAAACAAAAAGCAAAATTGTCTATAACATCAAGTATTAAACAGATATTATCATCGATTAATACAATACATTACCTTCAATTATTATTAATAGCTAGATAATTATTAAAACCTAGGTTACTTTGCACAAGCAACATTAAAGAATATTCAATCCACGTGACGCAAAAGATTCTCCAACAACATTGAAATAATGCTGACTTTGCAAAAATTGGTCAAAAAAAATACAACAATCCCATCAATTACCCTATCACAAGGTATGTTTAAACAACGTATTAATATTCATTTTGACCCTTTTGAAATTAATATTCTATCATTGCTATCTATCGACACTATGCGGTTGAAACAAATATTATCCAAAATTTATCTAATGTTTATCCTGATGTTGATAACAAACTATTTTTACTTTTGTTGTTATCGAATGTTCATTGCCAACTTGAAGGAGTTTATGTTTTACAAAGTATAAAAACTAATCATTTATCCAAACAATTTTATAGAAACGATAAAAAGAATATGTCCAAATACATTCCCCCTCATATGAGACAAAAGCTTTTGGAACAAGCTGACTCTCCACCATCATCATCTTCATCAAGCGATAAACCATTCTCACAAAGACAAAACAGCAGCAGTAATGGTAATGGTTCTGCCCAACAAAGAAAATTCACTGGTGATATCTTCAGTTCCAACAATAACAACAACAAACCAACCAATAGTAGAGTAGCTGTTGATTGGAGCAAATCGGATGACAATGACTCTTTTGACAACAATAGAAGAAGCTATGACAACAGAAGAAGTTATGATAGAGAAGAAAGAAAGCCAGCCTTCACTGACCGTAGTAGAGATGCTTACACCAGAGAAGATGTTGAAACTGAAGAACTCTTCAAGTCTAAGAGTACCGGTATTAACTTTGATGCCTATGAAGACATTCCAGTTAAAGTCACTGGTAAAGATATTATTCCACCAATTGCTGCTTTCAAGGAAGCCAACCTTCCACCAAAGTTGATGCAAAACATTGAAAGAGCTGGTTTTGGTAAACCAACACCTGTCCAAAAGCACAGTATTCCTATCGTCCTTGCTGGTAGAGATTTATTGTCTTGTGCACAAACAGGTTCTGGTAAGACTTGCGCTTTCTTGTTCCCTATCATTTCTAATTTGATGACTCAACCTGGTTACGAAACTGTTATGCCTCATCCTGAATTGATGGATACCCTTGTTACTTGTCCATCTGTTTTGATTATGGCTCCAACTCGTGAATTGAGTACTCAAATTTATGATGAATCTAGAAAGTTTACTTATCACACTGGTAGAAGAACTGTCGTTGCTTATGGTGGTGCTGCTATTCAATATCAACTTAAACAATTAGAAAGAGGTTGTGACATTTTGGTTGCTACACCTGGTAGATTGGTTGACCTCATTGACAGAGGTTCAATTTCCCTCCACAATGTTCAATACTTGGTTTTGGACGAAGCCGATAGAATGTTAGATATGGGTTTCGAACCACAAATTCGTTATATTGTAGAAAAGACTGGTATGCCAGCTCCAGGCCAACGTATCACACTTATGTTCAGTGCTACTTTCCCAAAGAATATTCAAACTTTGGCCCGTGACTTTTTACACAACAATTTGAACTTGACTGTTGGTAGAGTCGGTAGTACTCACGAAAATATTTTGCAAAAGTTTGTTTATTGCAAAGACGACGAGAAACGTGACTTGATGCTTGAAGCTATTGCATCTGTTGAAACACTTACATTGGTATTTGTCAAGACTAAGAAGGAAGCTAGTATCTTGGAATACTTCTTAATGAAGAATGGTTTCAAATCATCATCCATTCACGGAGATAAAACACAAAGAGAAAGAGAAACAGCTCTTGAAAACTTTAGAAGAGGTATCACACCAATTTTGGTCGCAACTGATGTTGCTAGTAGAGGTTTAGATATCAACGATGTAGGTCACGTTATTAATTATGATCTTCCAGAAAATATTGAAGATTATGTTCACAGAATTGGTAGAACTGGTCGTGCTGGTAATACTGGTATTAGTACTAGTTTCTTTACTGATAAGAATAATCAAATTGCTGATGACCTTATTACTGTATTAGAAGAAGCCAAACAAGAAGTCCCACCATTCATTGTTGAAGGAAGAGATAAACTCAGATATGCCAAGGGATTCAGAGGAGGCGGTAGCAGAGGAGGTAGAGGAGGTTCCTCAAACTTCTTTGGAGGTGGTAGTAGAGGTGGATTTGGCATGGCCAATGGTAGAGGTGGTGGTAGTAGAGGTGGATTCAGTAGTAGTAGAGGTGGAAGCTCAACCAGAGGTGGTAGATCATTCTTTGATTCAAACAATAACAATAGAAGATCATACCACTCTGATCTTGGCTTTGAAGAAGATTATGAAGAAGAGTAAGCTCACACTCAAAAGAGGAGCACTTAATTTGTTGGTGAGAGGGTATCAGGCTAAAAAATTCAAATAGCTACGAGTCAATGTACCAACTCAAAGATTAGTATCGGTAGCAGTGTTGGAAATTATTATAGCATCTTATGATGTTATAGAGAAATACCAAACTTAGGTTTCTCTAATTTTAGCTTTTTGTTTGCCTCACAGTTTTGGATTTTTTTCATTATTTTGAGGATACACTCAATCTGTATCTTCAGCTACTGTCTAGGTTTTGCTAGACAACTTTATTAACTCTCTTGTCAATAAATTACCTATCTTGACAACTTGTAATGTAAAAGAAGAGTTGACTTCTTTTTTAGAATTACTTGCGTCATTAATAAATACAAAAAAATGACTACAACTATTTACACCAATACTCTTGTTCCCGCTCGTTTTTTGATTACCTTAGGTTTCTTTATTATCGTTATTGTGCTTTTGTATGAACGATATAGGAACATTGAAAAAGCCATCTACTCATCAACTAAAACTTACCTCACAGAAGAACAATTCAACAATGATGTTTCATCAATGTCGGATCAGTATGTTTTTTTAGTTACTTGGAATTTTATTGAAGGAAATTAAGAATAATAGCATGTTGCTCCTTAACACTAATTGTAGTTGTTTTACAATTAGTTACATTATTTACTGGTATTACATTTTTTGAAGATTTAATTTCTGTTATTGAGATTTTTTGTAATTTATTAGGAGGATTATTATTTTGTTTTTTTATTATTTACACTTGGCATCCAATTACTTTGTGGTGGATTTTCTTGGGATGTTGCCTTATTCCTGCCTTTTTGGAAATTCAATTACTACTCAGAATATTTTTGTGGAAAGAGAAGGAATTTTAAATTATTTACAATTTATTCATAATCAAAGAAGGAATCTCCAATGAATTCACGAAGCAATGAATCAGAAGGAATGGATCCAGCTGGAATGGCATGGAAATAACGTAAGAATGCCAACAATTCTCTTGCAGAGTTGTAATGTGGACTTTGTGGACTGACAGCACTCAAAAGAGGCTTGGCATAAACTTTGAGTACAGAATATTCGTAATCAAGTGAAGTATTAAAAACAACATCTGCATTCTTCATGAATGGGAAAACATTCTTGTGTTCAGCCTTACGAACAGCAGGCCACATATCAAGTGTTGATGTAACAGAGTGACCTCTAAAGTTGAAATCTCTGACCATTCTTCTCAACAATCTAGTAGTATTATTACTGATAAAGTTCATTTCGTCAAGATTCAATTGAGTAAGTGGAGCAAGGAAAATCTTGAACTTGTTTTCAGATGGAATCTTTGGAGTCAATTTATCATTGAGACAGTGAATACCTTCCATCAATAAGACTTGACCAGGTAAACATTTAATTTTACGACCAACAGCCTTTGGTTCACCCTTTCTAAAATCGAAAATTGGTGACATGACTTCTTCACCCTTGATCAATGATTCGAGATGGTCATTCAACAAGTCAATTCTCAAAGCATCAATGGTTTCAAAATCATAATTACCGTTTTCATCAAGTGGACATTCCTTGTTTGGCTTATAATAGTCATCAACTGAGATAGTAACTGGCTTAATACCCAAAATTTCCAATTGAATACTCAATTTCTTAGCAAATGTAGTTTTACCTGATGAACTTGGGCCAGCAGCCAAGATAAGTTTAACCTTATCCTTTCTAGAGAAAATATCCAAAGCAATTTTAACAATCTTTTGGTCATGCAAAGCATGATTCAAAGCCATGAACCATTTGATAGTATTATCATTGACGTGTTGATTCAAATCACCAACACATCTAGTATTTGTAATTCTACCCCAGTTATTATATTCGGAATAGACATTAGAAAGTGTTTCGTCATTGAATTCAAGACCGAAATCATATGGTTCATTAGGGAATGAAAGCTTGAATCCTTGCTTGAATTTTTCCAAAGTAAAAGTACTCTTCATAAAGCTTGTCCTAGCAACAAGAGTTCTGTGATGCAAATCGAAATATTGTTGGTCAACTCCGTCACAATAATCAATTGGAACAGCAGGATCATTGTTTGCAGAAATAAGTGAAGCAGTATATGGCCTCTTGACAACATTTTGGAAGAAATCCATGGCCATTTCGTATGATACATAACGTGTCAAAATTGGTAAATCCTTTGATACTAATAATTCCATTCTATGTTGAACTTTAGAAACTTGTTCATTAGTAAGTTCATCTTTTCCATCAACACAACTATTTCTCAGAGATTAGTATAAATAAACAATTAAAAACTTACATCATATAACCACTTCTCAATGAATGTTCAACAGATAAAGAAAGTTCTGGGAATTCCAAGTGAGTTGCCAATCCGACTAAAAAGACTAAACTACGTCTGAGGATAGCGTGACCTTCAACACTATCTTTAAGAACTGGAGCAACCTTTACTTGGGCAAAGGAAATAACTTCATTCAATGAAGTAATTAAATTATTAATTTCCAAAGCATAGATATCTGTTTTAATATGCATATGTTTCTTCAACAATACAGCAATATCAAAACACTTTACAGGGCATGGGAAAACATGAATAGACTTGTCTGGAAATTCAACTTCAGTAGTTTGAGAAAGCCAGTGTTGAGAAGGTCTTCTCATTTCTCCTTCAGTATGAACAGACAATAAGGTGGTATCAGAGTGGGAGGCAGACATGTTGAATTCCGATGATTGTTCTCTCTCGCAATCTTTCTATAATGAAAATGTATCACAATTTATCAAAAAACAACAAGGTAAAGATCTCGTTGTATGGTGGGTGTGGTGATTTTTTTTTTGATTGTTTTTTAGAGGTTTTCATGTTTATACATTTTAGATTCATAAAGACCAAAAAGATACCCAAGCCTATGCTGATGCTGATTATTAGGATGAGTAACGATGAGTGTATTTTCAAATGATGATGTTTGTGTAGGTTCAATGGATGACGAATTTCTCCCATTTATTTATTCTTGAGGGATTTTTAGGGTAGGCATGGAAATCGTTCAATGTTAAAGTGTCGGTTTATGAAAAAGATTCTTTGTGATTCTGCAGAAAAATTATTCGAAATTAATTCCTATTTGAAGATTAAATCTGATAAGGTAATTTAAAATTAAATTACTAAAAAATGAAAGAAGTAATAATTGCAACAAATAAAGAAGAACAGCAAACAAAAGAACAGCATCAACAACGAGGAAAGGATAGATTGGAAAGATTAATTCAACATTTGGTTCCATCATCATTTCGGAGGAAAAGGATGCAATCGAATCATGATAGAATTTCGGAATTGGATAATAACATGTTTAAATTGAAGATTTTAATGGAATTTTACAGATCAATTTGGATTTCAATTATCATATTATCATTCTTGATGATTATTAAATCAGTGAGGAGGGAAAATTTAATTTTGAATTTTGATAAATTAATGAAATTTATTTCTCAATTAAAGAATGGAAAACGAGTATTGAATGTGGAAAAGAGACATTATCTATATTTAATTGAACCATTAATTGCAACAGCCATGATGTCTTCATTTTCAGTTGTTTGTATGTATTATTTTGGATGTATCATCAAATAATATTTGAATAGATAGTAAATTCAAAAAGAGTATCATGTTACAAATTGAGGATATTGAAATGGATTTAATAATTTTCAATAGAATGATTGGTATTATAAAATCAATTATTAGAAAAGAATGTGAAACATCAAATCCGTTCAGTACAGAACTTTTTCAAGAAAAAAGTATGAGTCATGAGGAAGTCATTGCATTCATGATTGAGAATGATAAGGAAACCTATCCAAGCACTAAGTTTGAGTATGATGTTAAAATTACAGATGTTGACGAATTTATGAAAAGTGTGGAGGTAATAGCATATCATCCAAAAACTGGGAAAGCCATGTCACAAAAAGTTCTGATTCCAAGACATCCCAATCTTGGGATTAATATTGATGATTTGAACATTGAAATGTTGAGTGAAAAGACCAATCAAACAGTACCACTTCCCACAGAGAATAATGTTGGATAAATCTTTCTCATAATCACTAGTTAAAATCTCTAATGGCCAAGTAGGCAACCATATTCAATTCTATAGAATATTTAGCAATTTCTTCCTTTGAAAAATTGAATAATTTGGTAATTGTCTGAGTGTCAAGATTGTTTTGCAAATAATCTTCAATCTGTTTCTCATCTGAAATAAATTCCGTATCCTTCATTTCATCCTGATTAAAATTACTCTTCACATACTCTTCAATGCTCATCACACCATCACAACAAACACACAAGACATGATTTCCATCCGACACACTTGCACCAAAATTTCTATAAGCTTGTCCAATATTTCTCTTTGGATTTAATTTGTAAATTAATTCTGTATGAACATTTTGAGTTTTCCATCCAACAATAGATTGATCATCTTCACCCCAACTATCCTTGCTCTCGGATTTGGAGAGTAAAACATGATGAAGCCTAGATTCAAGAACAAATAGGCTTGGTATTCTTGTTGGATTGATACACGACAAAGAGCATGAACTCTTTTGTAATTCGATCAACTTGGCAATAAATGAACAATTTTTCATCAAAACAATTTCTGCTGTTAATGCACTTCCCACTTGTATCTTCATTTTTTAAGGTTTTGGTAAGTACAAAGTATTGTAAAATAAGTTTGTTAGAAAGTATTTAGACAAGAAATTAAGAACATGTTCTTGAAGATAAAGCAAGAAATGCACAATGTAGTACAGATTTAACTATTTAACTCTAGAGAACGAAGAGGGTCCTTTCTAACAAATGCACAATCAATTTTAATCTCTGAAGTTGGTGATATTGAATAGGTCAATCAATAGAGTAGATTCTATTGATCGACTCACAAGATATGGACAGGTGCCATATCCTAAAGTTATGAAAAAGTCAAATCCTTCTTGGCTTATGATAGAAGTTCGTATCCGATTTCAATCTAATAGTTTCTTTATTCAAAATCACGCAAGTAATCGCATACATGTACTTTAACACCTCTATCTCTTGCCATTTCTTCTGGAGTTTGTCCTGCCTATTTGGGTAAGTGAATATGTTTCTCGATTCAAAAAACAAACTTACATTATTCTTGATATTTTTGTCAGCTCCCTTAGATAACAAATACTTGACTACTTCGAAATGTCCATTGTAACTGGCCCAATGAAGAGCTGTCTGTTGAAGGTTTTCACAAGTTTTTGAAGAGGTAACAAATTATTGTACAATAAATCATTTACAAACCTCCTAATTTATAGTAAATTAACTTTCCAATTGTGTGTGAATGTAACACTTACTCCAATCTTTACATTGCGAAATTATAATATTATTAATGAATATTATGATAATTATTATTCGAAAATGCAATGTCAGTAAACAATTACATACCTTTGATTGATGATTAATATTTGCTTGATATTCCTCAATTAACATTTGTACAATAGCCAAATTACCCCATTGAGCAGCATTAATCAACGGTGTCTAATATTCATTCAATTAATTTTGACAATTTTCCAATTATTAATTCAATTTCCAAAAATCCAAACACTCACCATCTTATCAATTCAATTTAAAATCAATTTTTAATTCAGTATTATAAATGTTCAACATCACAATTCTTCCGAAAACCTACTCCACTCTTATCGGATGAATAAATTCGTAGAACGTGATGATGCTGTTGGTGATGATAAAAAACCTACTCTTTCATCAAAAGTATTTACATCCACTCCTTGTTCCGAAATTAGGTTTGAAGCCTTTTCTTTTTCATCATATTCGCAGGCACTTCTCAATTGTTTTTCCAAGAGTTTCTTGTCTGTGGTTGTTGATGATGAACTACTCATTTTTTTAAATTATTGCACTTTTAATATTAACTATTTAATGTTAATTATTTAATAGTTAATTTTGTAATACAATTTGCTGTTCTAGAGATGTTTTGCATGAACCTCAACTACAGCAAATGTTCATATCTATCATTTTTGTAAAAGACAATTTACATAATTAAAATCTAGAAAATAGAAACCAATTTGTCCAAGTTCACCTTCATAGCTATTGTAATCTCATACTGAAATCATTTAAGTTGCATTGAACAATAGACAATATGCATCCAGACTGGTAATTTAATTTTCTTTCAATTTGGCAAGTAATTCGTCATCATCGTTTGATATCAACGTTTGTTGTGAACATCAAATACATCAATCGAATTTTCAATATATCTTATAATTGAAGTTGATGAGATCTCGTACATAGTGCACAAACAAAGCAAGACCACTTGGAAAGCAACTTGTCTTGCATACCATTGTTGAAACGTCCTTGGATTTCAATAACTCCACCAAAAAATGTTTTGTCAAAATTTTGACAGGTTTGAGGACATGAGCGAAGTCAATTTCGCTACAGGAATAAAATTGTTACCTGATCAATTATCTATTATATCCAAGTCACTGCCTTTATAGAATAAGGGCACTTTTTAAGAGAACAATCAATTCTTGCAATAAGGATTACTCTTTCTTTATTTTGAATTTTTCAAGGTTTCGATGTTTCACACTATCGCAAGATGGAAGGTTTTTCGCCTTGTTCTCATATCCAACCAACACAACAAAATCAAACTTGAGAGATGCAAACTTTGCATTGTTTGGAGGAGTAGAGGTTGGTTTCTCCTTGAGGAGAATGTTGTTGGCACTCGCAACAATAACTTGTTGTAACTCAAACGATTCGTTCAAAGAAATTGTCTAAACTTCCATAACAGTGTGTTTCTGTCAGCAAATTAATTCCAACAAGGAACACACCATTCCCCACCAACCAACAGAACACACAAACTATCTTGAGAGTTAAATCTCGTCATTCTTCTTCTACTAGAAAAAGTATTTGTAAAAAATCATTGTATTACATCACTTTCGCTTGGTTCGCAATTCAAAGCATACCATTTCTACAAAATAGTTAGACTGTACTGTTTGATTTCCACTCTCTTCATTCTTCTTCACAAGTTTCCTTATTCATTCTTCACTGGCTTCCTTTGACTTCATTTGACTTCAGTTTGATCCCTTCATATCTCAGCTGTAACGTTCTCTTAATAGTTCCAAATTTGCAACATGAGCGTTGAGGTACCAACAATAAGTAAATCTTTTCCCTCAACCGATCCTAATAAGACAACTCCTAACACTGTGAGTGAGCAAAATTCACCAACAACAACAACACAAGCCGCTGCCTTAATAACAACATCAGCAGAGGGATTATTGTCGGCGAACACAACGCACAACCAACAAATAGAAAGCACAGAACACCAACCTCATGAAAACTTTATGAAGAAAAAAGAACAAGCTTATGATAACTTGGAATCATTAAGAAGATCATCAACTTTATCAATTGTTATAGCACACCAAGACAATATAACAACATCACAACCACCACCACCTACTACCAGTGCCAATACCAACAGTAGCAGTAGCTTCTATCAGAGAAAGTCTGCCTCCCCTTAGAGAAACCTTCGACTCACTACCATCACCTTCACAGTTGACAAGTATTAGTAGTGCAGATAATAACAATATGATGTCGTATCAGAGAATTCAACCTCCTCATCATCATTCTCATCAATCTGGGTATGGAATGAATTCACATCATCACCATGCTCCAGACCACGGTCACATGTATTCTTTATCTCCACCACATGGCCAACAGTATGACCACCACCACACAATGGCCAATAATTCTTCCATGTCCTTCGACCACAGACAACCAGCTCAATTTTTCGAAAAGTCATCCTCCGTGACTGGATCATCCAACAGATTGGACAGACAGCAGCAACAACATGTAAATAACGAATATCATTATCATCACGAGTACAATAACTATGATGTGCATCCTAGTGCCCAACAGCAAGTATTCAATCATCACATGCATTCAACAAGAAACCATGCATTGAATAACAATCACATGTATAATTCCTCTCCAACATCACCCCCATCTAATAGACCCTTTGCCACACTTCCAACTCCTGTACCAACATCCAATTTGACCAGTCCATCTAATTCTTTCTCACAACCACAACAACATGTTGTTGCATCACAATCATTGCATGGAAATAGCTCTCCAAGTGAAAGACCACAATCATCAACATTTAATGTGCCTTCTTCAACACCTAGTGGAAAATCTAGTCCAGTTTCATCGAATAATGAAGCAACATCATCGAATGCTAAAAGAACAAATGGTCATCAAGCTCACATTACCATGACAACAATTAAATTTAAAGAATTGGCTATTTACTTTGATTGGAAATTAGAACAAGCATGTGAAGCAATCGGAATTAGTAGTACATCAATGAAGAAATTATGTAGACATTTCAATATTCCAAGGTTAGTATTAATTTCGAATAATGACAATAATTAATTCTATCAATTATTTAATTCACACTATATTGTTGTTTATTAAATTATCAACAGATGGCCGTACAGAAAATTAAAGAGTTTGTACATGAAGAGGGATAAGATTCTGGAAAATATGAAAAACAATTCATCAAACCCACTATCTCAGAAAAAGTTTACAACTCAATTGGAAAAAGTTGATACGGAAATTGAAAATATCAAGCGACCATCTGGTTCAGCAAATTTATCAATGGATAGAAATTTACTTCAAAAATCGAGTGGAAGTGACATTGAAGAGGAGGAATCTAATTCTGATGATGCCAGTGCTGGTGATACTAAGATTAATAGAAAACGAGAACATGAAAGCAATATTGACAATGCTAAAAGAGTTAAAAGAGTTGATTCATCTCTTTTATCTTCATCTTATTCCTCTCAGAATTGTAGTGAAGTTTCACCACAATCTAGTTATGTTTCAACACCACCAGCTCAACCACTACTCAATTCATCCTCACCTGCCTCACTTAAATCCAATCCATACATTCAAACTGTTAATAATGGTCAATTCCAAATTCCACGTGCAGCTGACCAATCTATGCAACTAGCTCATTCAGGTAGTAATAATATTTATTCTACAACTTCCTTCTCATCTTTGGAGAATTATTCAAGAAGTAGTTCTAGTGATTCAACTCCTTTATCTCACAATAATAGACAATCACCAACCAACACAACTTCTTCAGCAAACATGATGATGCGAATGCAACCACCACCTTCCCCACTGAATCAATCATCACCATCAACTAATCAAGTATCTGCTCTTCCTTCCATTCATGAACTATTAAAAAGTATGAAATAATTTATAAAAATCTAAGAAATCTATTAAGATTATTTTATATTTACATTATTAAGCAATATTTGAACATAATAAGCAAGATTATATTTACATTATTAAGCAAGATTTCTTTCGTTTTGTTCTATTTTCCAAGAATTGAGTAAAACCATCATTGATAACTGACTTGAAATCTAGAGTGGTTTTGGCACTGCATTCAATATAGCAACAAGCACCAACCTTGGTTGCAAATCTCCTAGCTTCTACAAATGTTACACAATTTTCAGCGATTGAATTATCTCGTGGTGAATTATCACAATCTTGTTCCATGAATGTTTCTCTTGGTGTTTTAAATGAATTTTCATCAATTGGAGTGCTAGGAGTTGCTACTGATTTTCTAGAATCAATATAGTCCTTCCAATCATTGGTTGGCATTGACCTGGATCGTGCAGTTGTTGATTTACCTCTAGACCTAGCAGTTTTTGGAGAATTTTGTGGAACTGTTAGTTCAATATCTGAAATTTCCAAAACAAATGATGTAGAACTACTAGCACCACTATTCTGACTTGTATTCATAGTTGACTGTTGTTGTGGTGAAGCAGATTCAAAAGTATCACTTATTGGTGATGATTGTGCGTCGGTGAGTTGTTGTTTCGAACCACTCTTTCCAATAGCACTCAATAGAACACTCCCAATATTTCTCTTAAATTTAAATGATGAACTACTAGTAGATTTTGTTTGACTATTACTACTCGTCGAACTCAAACTACTACTTATACTAATATGAGAATCTCTACGTGGATCGTGATGAGCAAATCCACCACCACTACTTGCTGAATATCCCAACGGTTGGTGATAATGACTTGAATCACGAATAGGAGATTGCATTGGTGAACTAAAATTACTTCTAGAATTAGCATTTGAACTAGTTCTAGAACTAGAAGGTGAAAATTCAGATCCTACATCGCTACTAGTCAATTCGTCCAATTCTTTCATTTGTTCTAAACTATTTGCATTTAGGGAAAGTCTATATTTTCTTCTTAGATCAGATTTACATCCAACAATTAAAAATGAAGCATCTGGTGAATATTTCTGAATTTCTGGAATCCATTTCTTTTTAATTGATTGTAAAGTTGAAGGTTTTGAAATGTCAAAACATAGAAAAAATAAATCAACATTTGAATAAGAAAGCGGTCTCAGTTCATCATAATTCTTTAAACTACTCAATTCCCACAATTCTATATGAAAATCTTGTCCATTACTGCTGACATTTGTCGAATAAGATTCAATGACAGTTGGCACATGCTTTCTTTCATATGAATTTGATATATATCGATTAATTAAATTCGTTTTTCCGCATTCACAATCTCCTAATACAATAATTTTAAAATGTAATTTTTGATTTGATGAATTTGCATTGCTAGTTGTCAAAATTTCAAAATCATGTTCTTCTTCTTGATTCCGTAACTCTGATATATCTTGAAATGATGCAGAGGGTGTGATGATGGAGGGTGTTCTTCTTCCAATCGTTTGGTTGGGATTTAGCATTGAGAGATAATGATGATGATTTTTTTTAAAAATGTCACTTGTCTAGTAATCAATAACTCCATCACATCTGGCGCAACATTTTCAGTGAATGGTTTTTAGACTTTTTTAATTTCACCAACGACTAGTGATCTTATCAACAGTTTACAATAATATTTAATGAATTTACTTCAACAAGCTCATTTCAAGACAAAGCAAAAATTCAAAAAACCTAACAAATTTATTGTTGTTGTGTTTAAAAATCGCCCACCAATTATTGAACTAGTAATGCAGCAATATAAGGATTCACACCATAACGGATTTCATATTGTACTTGTAATCATAAGAGGAAGAAACTGCTGGTTTTATCGTGCATTGGTTTAGCCACAGCCTGTGAAAAATTTGCAAACTACAAATGCATCTCACCAGTGTGAGGTAAGATTTTCAATTTTATATCATCCTAACTTTTTGGGCTAATTTCTTAATATTCTCCTTAGTGAAGAGTTTCTGATAATTTGGATGATTGAACTCATTCGTTAAGGCCTTGTATTCTTTTAAAAAGGTCAATTATCACAATATTCAAATATATTACAACATTTCATTAGATTATATAATTAATCATTCTTTAAACTTGCAGTGATAAATACAAGAATTGCCGATTTAACAATCATGTATTCATTTCTAGTAAATAAATCAGAGAGGAATGGTATAAAAGAGAGTGGTGATTTTCTAATAGTTTTCAATTCAGTCGAGTTGGAAAAACTTCCTACAAAGTGTGGTTTATCAAATTCCTTGATAAGTAAATTAGTAGAGGTGGTAAAGTGTTTTTTAATTCTCATTGCTTCATATTTAGATGAATTCATGGATGGAAGAGCAGTACCAGAAATACACTTATTAAATTGAATATCTATTTGATTCATTAATTGTGGTTTATCATCGTGATTGATATGATTAGGTTTGATGGATTGTATTTGATGATTATCATCGATATTTACTTGTTGGTTAAATAAATCGGAATAGATAGATAATTGTGAACATTCAAATGATGATGATGCAGTATTATTACTATCATCATCACCACTATTACTAATAGGAGATTTGAACATGTTATTATTTGTATTATTACTAGTATTCGATTTAAAAATTCCCTTTAAAACAGATAATATCCAATTAATAATTCTTTGTATAATAATTGATAAATTATTCCTCTCTTTCACATTATTATTTAATACTTTAAAATCCAATGAATTGGTGGAATTGGGTTGCAGAGTGTTTTCCATTTTTTATTTAAAGTTTGTAAGCTTGTTGGAGAAGTGAAACTCTCTTTGAGGAATTAGTATTGGCAGATGAATTAACAGCTGCACTTGAGAGAGTTGAGGACTGTTCAACATGTTCTTTCAGTTTCTTAAAGAATGGATTGTCTTCACTAAATCCTTGTTGCTGTTGCTGTGGTGGTAGTTGATTATTGTTTCGGAGTGTCATTAAATTAGAGCTGACATTGTTTTTAGGTGAAATACTATCAACTCCCCAAGCTTGTTTTACAGTTGGCCTAGAAGAGGAGGAGGTAGTTGTGGAAAGAGTTGAAGATATTGGAGAAGAGGAGGAATCAAAACTGAGTGTAGAAACAGGAATACTGCTATTACTATACTGTTGTGAAATATTACTTCGTATTGTTGCAGAAACTTGAGAGGATATGGATTCTTCTGGTGAATCTTCTTCTGGGTATGGATTAGTTGTCTTGTACCAATTTTCAAAATCTTGTTGAAGTCTCACTCTGCTCATTTCCAATACTCTCTTCAAGTGTTCAATTTCCTTCTTTAATTCCTTGAGTTGATTACATTGATCTTGATGTCTATCCTTTTCAGCTAACAACTCTTTTTTAAGTTCAATTTCTTCTGGGAATTCTTCATCTGTTTCAGCATTCTTATTTACAAGATTTTGAGCAGCTCTTTCAGTTCTTAGTTGAATGAGTCTGTTCTTTAACACTTCAATGACAGATCTCTTATCATTGATATCTCTAGCCATCTCCTTTGCAAAGGCAATCTTTTCTCCCAAAGCTTCCTTGTTCTTTTCAATGACATTGTAATTTCTATATTTTTGTCTAAATAACTCGAACGCTTCTGCTCTTCTCCTCATTCCAGTTGCATCGGCTAGGATGGCAATCTTTTCATTGGAGAATTTTGGTGCATTATCACCTGTTTGGGAAAGAATGGATTTTTCCTTCTCTCGAATTCTTTCCTTAATAACTTCTTTTGTCACAATATCTTGAATAGGTTTTCGTTCTACACTTCTATGCATACTTGCTATTGATTCCATAGAAGATGTATTTCCGTTTGTGAAAGTATGAAGCATTGATCTCTTGGGTGATGGTGGTGGAAGGGTTGTAACAATTTGACTCGATGGGCTAATTTCTGTCTGTATCGATACTTCAGACATGTTCTTTTGTTTCTTATTTAACATGGAGACAAGGATATCAATTTCAATATCTCTGAGCTCAATGGCAACCGATAAGTTTTTGAGCTTCTCTTGGATATCTTCTGAGAGAGCAACTTGTTGTTGTGGAGGGGCTTGCTGAATTGGCTGAGGTTTCGTTTTTTGAGGTACTGGTTTCTCTTTCGACGCTGTAGCTTCCTTTGGCCTTTTCCTGAGATCCAAAACATAGGATTTTAAAACCAAGAAGGCCTCCCTAATTCTCAAATGGTCTCCTCCCAAATTCAGAGAACTGTCTCTATCCAAATCATCCAAAAATTCATCCACTCTCTCCTTAATAATTGCTTTTTCGTTTCCATCCAGTGCTTCTCTTTTCTGCCCTTCACCTCTATAATATTTCAGTTCTTCCTCCAATTCCTCAACTTTCTTTTTCAGTTTTCTAATTTGAACATATGGATCGACTTTCTCGTTAATGACAGCATTTTGTTTAATGCTAGCTACTCTCATTGAAAATTTACATGTTGAAACAGATTCCGACAAGTGTCTATATGAAGGATTAATCGTCGAAATCATAATAGTTTTACAATTACCACCAATACTATCTTTAAGGACAGTGGTGATTAATGAATCTCTCCAAGGAATGTGGTCATTACCTTCACTGATACTCATAATAAAACGTTCCAAAAAATACAGAGACAAGTTGATACTCTTGGCTTCTTCCAGAGTTTTGCCTGTTGAATTTGTCTTACTAGGCCGTTCGCTACCGGCCAAATCTACCATGTGAAGTTTTGAGGATTTTACAACTGATGATCCAGGTTCCTTTGATTCAATATTAACAGTAAATATACAGTGAGAACGAGTAGAGGACTCATTGAGCATAGTTTCACTGAAAATGAATGAATAAATTCAAAACTAAAATTAAATCTCTTACCTCAACACTCTGTTTTTATCACCAATAAATAATTTATCCAAAGCATCCTCTTCTGTTTTAGTTGGAAAGGTTTGAATATTTTTGAAAACAACAGCTCCGTTTGTATCAATTCTAGCCGATACTTTCCTAAATTATTTCTTTAATATATTTCCTCATCATTTTAAACTTACGGTAATTCCTTAATATCCATTAAATCTCTTTTATCATTCAATAAATCATATCCAAATCCTTTATAAATTTCCATATATGAAACTGAAAATGTATATTCTCGATCTCGTTTTCCTTCATTCGACGATTCCTCAAAAAGAAGTGAAATAGCTCTAGGAATGATACCTCTTTTTTCATAGCTTCCATCTCCACCAGTCATTGTATAAGTTTTACCACTTCCAGACTGACCATAAGCAAAAATTGTTGAGTTATATCCTTCTAAAGCACTAAGAACACATTTCTTAGCACATCTATCAAATATTTCATCTTGATCCACTTGTTGATCAAATATTCCGGTGTATTTATATTCATAATTTTCAATTGTATTATTAATATATCCTGCTTCATCCGATCTTGGTTTTTTAAAATGTAGTACTGCATTATCAAATGTTTGTTCTATTGAATATTGGCAATGACTCTCACTCACTGGTCTAATACGACAATAGACTTGGATTGTGTCAGAGCCTTCTGATTTACTCATTTTTTTGCCGCCTAACAATGTACAATTAATTTATTAATAGTATTTGGTGTTTTGGGTGTATTGATTCATAACATGTATCTTTGTAACTCAAGTTATTGTTCTTTATCACTACGGTTTTATATTCAGTTTCTTGTGGAGGCTTGATTATTATTAAATGTTTGCTGATGATGAAATTATGTCATGGCTGACTTATTAAAATTACATATCGTGGTATTATTCGTGTTGGTTGTTATTCTTCTTCTTGAGTGTTGTAGAAGCTCCAACAGATAAAACTGTAATTTTTCGCGCCAAAAACTACTTTAAAATAGTTTTAAAAAATGTCATCAGATGGTTCGACCAACCAACAAGGAGATGGAAAGGAGAATGATCAAGAAAAGATGGTCCTTAGTTTGACCAAAACAGCCTTTGAAACACTTGAAAGAGATTTTCAAGAAGTTTTGATGGAATTGGCTGGAAAAGATCATTTGGAAAATTTTAGGATTGAATATGAAAAATTACATCGTAATTTATTGAGATGTCACGAAAATGAGAAGAGACTTATGAAGAGATGTGAGGAACTTACTCAACAAATAGTAGCAAATGCCATCAAGGTACAAACAGCAATTAATTTATCTAAGGAAGACCAAAACACCATCGCAATTTTAAAAAAGGAAATTGATAAAGCATGGAAACTAGTAAACGCATCACATGAAAAAGAAGCCAAAGCTAAGGAAACTGTTCAAAAACTTACCAAAGAAATTTCGGAGCTGACAAAAATTGCAAATCAAGGAACCGGTAATACAGTTCAAGATGCCTCTGCACCAGAGTTGGAAAAGGTAAAAAAGGAGCTTGCCAGAGAAAAGGAAATGAAAAATGCTCAAGTAATTTCCCTTAACAATGAATTATCGAATATGCAAATTCAGGTTAGTTTCAAAAAATTGTACTAGTATTAATTCTAATAACCTACTATTCTTACAGATCAATGATGTAAATCAAGAAAAGAAGAAATTGCTAACTGTTATTGAAAGTATCAATGAACAGCTCAACGAAACAAAGAACAAGTTAGATCAAACAATCAAGCAAAAGGAAAAATCAGAAAAGGAACTTAAAGAATCGAAACAACTTCTCACAGCTAAAGCTCAAGAACTCTTAAAGAAAGATGAGAATATTAAGAAGGAACAAACAAGAGTGACAGATTCGGAAAAGGTTATCAAGGATATGGAACAAACTATTAATTCTCTCCAAAAGAGAATAGAGCAATACAAGTCTACCATTGATACAGATGAAAAGGAAAGAGTTGGACTAATTGCTGAAGTTTCTAGGTTGAAGGCTAACGATCAAACATTGAATTTCGAAAAGAAGTTGTTGGAAACAAAAGTTAAAGAAGTTATTGATGAAAAGAATCAATGGCATCAAAGCTATCAAACTCTCCAACAAAAGAAGAAGATTGTTGAAAATGAAAAGGAAGAAATTGAAAGATCTAAAGAATCTCTCAATCAAGAAATTATCCATTTGAACAAGGTCATAGAGGAATTAAATAATCAAAAAGATCAACAATTGGAAGCTGGAGAAAAAATCAAAGCAGAAAGAAATTACCTCAGTAAGAGTTTGGTTCTCATGAAAAAGGAAAAGACTAAGAAACAGGATAACATTAAAATTCTGGAAGGAAATTCAAAGGTATTGAAAGCTGAAATTGTTGCTGAAAGGAAGCAAACAGAAAAGTACAGACAACTTACCTACACACTGGAGAAGGAAAGAGAAAGATATGCTTCGGAGGCTTCAGATTCTGACCTGAAATACAGACAAGCTCTGGAAGAAGTAAGAATCAAGACTGTTGAATTGAATGAGCTTCAAAAGAAGATTATTGAACTTCAAGAAAAATTGAAGACTCAACAATCTCTATATGAATCAGTGAGAAGCGAAAGAAACACTAAGAGTAAGGCTCTTATTGCGGCTCACGAAGAGGCAGAAGAAATGAAGAAACAGTTCAAGATTATGGAACAACAAATTACTCAACTTAAGGATGAAATTACCAGTAGAGAAAAGGCTCTCGTTGATGAAACATACAATGCTAAACAAATCCTGAAGAAGAAGGAAAAGATGAAGGAAGAAATTAAATTGTTGGAAGAAAAGCAAAAGGAACAGGAAAGAATCATCAAATCTCACGAGTCTGAAAACTATAGGCTCACTCAAATCATTAAGCAAGCTGATAATGAAAGAAGAAAACAACAAAAGGACTATGATGCTGTTGTTAGTGAAAGAGATGTTCTAGGTACTCAGTTGATTAGAAGAAACGACGAAATTGCACTCCTCTATGAAAAGATTCAACTTCAAAACAGTACACTAGACAAGGGAGCTATTCAATATAGAGAACGGTTGGGTGACATCAAGATTCTCAAACTGAAAATCAAAGATCTCACAAGACAATTACAAGTCTTGAAGAAGCACATTTACAAGATTAAGGAATTCCAAAGAGAGAATCATGAGTTGAAGAAACAATTACTCGAAGAAAGAAACAAGGTCAAAGCTCTCTCAGAAGAACTTCAAAATCCAATGAACGTTCACAGATGGAGAAAGTTAGAAGGAAGCGATCCTACACAATATGAACTTGTTCTTAAAACCCAAACGCTCCAAAAGAGATTGATTGCCAAAACTGAGGAAGTTATGGAAAAGGATTTAATTGTTCAAGAAAAGGAGGAAATGAACAAAAAGCTCAAGGCTATCCTTTCAAGACAACCAGGTCCAGAAGTTGCAGAACAGCTTAATATTTATCAAGAGACTTTGAGAAAGAAGAATTCTCAAATTCAATCTCTTGCTTCTGAACTTAACTTTTTACAATACAAGGATAAACAACAAGAGTATGAAAAGGAAAGACTTAACAGAGAACTCAAAGATACCAAGAAGAAATTCTTACAAACAAAGAAGGATTTCTACTTGGAAAAGGAACGATCTCAATCACAAACTTTAGGAGGTGAGGAAATGGCCGGAGAACCATCTTACAAAGTTACTCCTGGAGAAGGAACTAGGGTACATTTAGGAGGAGGTTTTGCTCTCAATTAGTTATCGGCGATGTAAATAATTTGTAAAAATAAATCGATCTTTAATTCATTTAGTTTCAAATTGGTATGCAATGATATATTTCAATAACATTGCATAAAGCACAATACATTGAGGGCTATCAATATCATAAGGGTCTGAAATATCAATATGAAAACTATTAAATTCATCAAATGCCATGAAATCAGCATTATCATTCGAAAGAAGTCTCTTATTTCCATTTTCCCATTCTTTCTTTGTTACAAGAACTATTTGTGCTTCTTTTGAAATATTTTCAAGAATTAATTTTTTCTTTTCACTTAATCCCTCCAATTCCCGATCATCAAATGGATCAACAATGAGCACTACTAGAAAACTACCTCTATAATATGCTGAAATGAGGCTATTAAATTTATACACTGAAATATTCCACAACTGTAGCTTAGACTGGAGATTTCCAAAATAATAAGTTTTCGTAGAGAAATCCTCAAAATGTCTATAATCTTCAAACTTTGAAGAATTTTGAATAATATAATTACGGAATTTGTGTTTTGAACTGCCAGAAAATCCTTCTAGTAATACTTTCACTATGTAATCGTTATTTCCATATTTTGACGATTCACAAGTAGGTTTGTGAGTACTACTTGTGGGTTCGGTTTCAGGAGGTGTAATTCCAAAATTAGTAAAAAACTTTAAAATACTTGAAAATAATCCATCAGATTTCTTTTGTTCGGTATTAATAATATAATTATTGTCTTCTTTGTTAATTTCTTCTTCCTCTTGGTTACATTTTCTTCTCGCATATTGAAATAAATTATTGTAACATTTAATATCATTTTCAATCCATTCCATCTCATTACAAAAGTCTAAATCCGTGCTCTGTTTTCTACTATTGTAAACTCTTTTAGAAAATTCATAAATTTCATATCTAAATGCAAATTTAATAAATTTTCTCCTCAAATATTTATCGCTTTCCAAATTTAGAAATTCATCAAAACACTCCAACAAATTCTTATTCTCCTGTTTAATATGATCCGATATTTTCAGCCTATCCAATAATCTTGTTTTTTCATTATAATATTCGAATAAATGTTTGGAAATAAATTGATGATTTTTAAAAATTAATCGAAAAGTTAGCAAAACCTCTATCGGAGATAAAAATGGTAAAATTTCATAGAATAAATCTTGTGGAAGAATTGAGAAGGGATTTAACATATTATTTTCCCCAATACGAATCTTTGCATCTTCATCATCGTGTTGTTCCATTTTTTTTAAAGATTTTACAAAAAAAATGTAAACCAAATTTCTAATCAATTTTCATTCAGGGTATTGTTGAACGAATTGAATAATGTACATTTACTTGGATTGAAGTTTTTTAAAATATTGGAAAATAATCTTTTTTGATTCCAAAGTAATTACTTCTTCAAGTTGTGATTTTTGTGAAGAGGATATTTGAAATCCTGATTCATTCAATTCATCAAATACATCTTGAATATAGGCCTGGAGTAGTTGATTCATTTGTACTTTGTTTTTGGTGTCGATATTTCCAATTTTAGAAATTGCATTATTCAATCGATTTTCTGTAATGCAAGCCAATGCTTCATATTTGATAACTTCTAATTCATCAATGGAATTTGATGATGAATTGGAGGTTGGAGTTGACCATTTAACAGCTTGTTCATATTTCTTTTCTGAAAATTCTTGAATTTTCCTCTTGATTATTGCTCGTTCTAATTTTCCTTTTTTAGAAATGTTAATTTCTTTCATTGGTTTTATCACAACACCTTCAGCATAATTTGATTCATTAAGTGATGGCATTCCTAATTTTTTAGGAAGTTTCGAGTCAAATTTAACATCCATATCCATACATTCTTCATAACTTGCAATTAATAAAGGTTCTGCATATAAAAGTTGACTTTTTGAGAATATTTCCAATGTTACTTCGTAATCTAAATAAATTTGAATCAAATCACTCTTTTGAATTGCAATATCAAATGCATAAAATTCAATATCATTTGTATACCATATACCTGTTTGAACTGGTTGTTCAATTCCTTCTAGTTTTGGCATATTTGGATAAAATCCACCAAATATTTCACCAAATAAATAAACATGAATCAGATCTGGATAATTTGTCTTGACCATTCTGAATATATTTTCCAATTTACTTGTTAATCTCTCTTTCAATTTTTGAAAATAAAAGAATTGATCATTTTCACTTAAAATTGATTTCCTCTTTGCACATTCAATATGAATATTTCCACCCAAATCTTCATTCATAAAAAAGCAGAAATTAGCTCCATGAACCTTTTCTGTGGCGACCCATTTGACCTTCTTGAATAGTTTAGTTTGCTTTTGATCCATATCCCAATGTTTGTTAGATGAATCAATTTTAATGTAGCCTTTAAATAATTCGGAGGAGCCTTCCGATTCATCACCACTATCATTATCTTTGTCAATCTGAGAGGTGGTTGAGAGCATTTTTTTCTTTTGTGTTTTTAGGCTATTTTTCAATTAATTGTAATGATCTGAGCGTTGAACATCAATTTTGAAAATGAAACAAATTCAAATGATATCATCGGCATCTTCAAGTTGAACACCCTCAAATTGAACTTTATTTGCCCTTATTGTTATGTGTTAAATGTTTGGTTGTTGATATATTTGTACAAAAGATTTTTAATGATTATTCTTCCCTCTTGGTCAAATCAATCAATTCTTCAATTAAATTCTTAGCAGCAGCATGAATTTCATTTGGTTGAACAGTACCAGCAGCAGAAACACTGGCAACGCTAGCAATACGATGTGAAGAATCAGTACAAACAACTTCAGCATCACCACTTTCTTGAGAGAGTTCATTACCAAACTTTGTCATGAGAGTTTCAACAAAAACTCGATCCAAAGTCTTACCCAAAGCAACAGCAATACCATTTCCAGTCTTTCCTGAAACTTTACCCAAAGCCTTAGCACCTAAAATAACAGAGTTTGACATAAAGCCAATTGGTTTCTTTTGTTTGAAAAAGTCAACAATGGCCTTTTCAACATGTGAATTAACTTCAACTTCATTAACATTATATTCTTCTTGTTCAAAATTAGACAAATTACGAACAACTCCATTACCACCTGGAATAACTAACATGTCAAATTGATCAGCACGAAGTTGGTCAATGCTCAAAATCTTTTCACGTGCAATACGAGCACTTTCCTTATGCATATATCTTTCTTCGCTTGAATCAATTTGTTTTGTAATATAATTGTATGATTCATCAATTTCTTCGTGTGGTGAGAAGAATCTTGGAACAATTCCTTTTCTTGTCAATTCAACAATAACACTAACAGATTCAACAACATCACTTCCATCCATAAATCCACATCCGCTCAAAATAACAGCTGCAGTCTTTTTCTTTTCTTCCTTCTTGGCTGCTTGGTTATTCATCATCATTGATTGATGCTAACATTTCCAACAATAAAAACAATTAATAATAATAACAATTTGTTCATCATTGTATAGTCATCATGTTATCATCATTTAATCATACAAATCCACAAGATGATATTCCGGAATAAATTATCGGATTAAAAATAATTCTAAACAAAAATATATAAGTGAGAACACCTACATAGAACATTTTACTAGTTTGATTAGCAACCAAAGATGTAGTCTTTGAAGTCTTAACGAAAGGTGAAGTCAAACTTCTCAAGGCAATTCTGAAGGACATTTTTTATTTTTAAAATATTTTTTCGTATTAAAATTGTCTTCATCAGTTGTTTGTCGTGGCTTAAAAGAAACGTGCCAAGATGAAAATTGTTGAGTTGTCAAAATGTAATGCTAAGAAAAATTATAATTTGTTTAATAAACACCTGGAATCATAACCCATTTAACCTTCTTGCAATATTCGTCCCAGAATTTACCATACTTTTCCTTACATCTTTCATTGTCTCTCATAGCTCTGTGGAAGAGAAGAGCAGTCAAGTAAATTGGATACAACCATGGTAATAAGTAACCACATTGAAGACATGGTAAACTTTGAGCAATAGCAATGAGAATATCACCCAAATAATTGATCTTTCTGGCAACTCCCCAGAATCCTGAAATTAATAATTTTCTATCTCTAGCAGTTTCCAATGTCTTTGGTTCAATAAGTCCCAACCAAACTTGTTTTGGATCTTGACGATAGACAAACTTTTGATTGTTGGCACCTCTGAAAATGATATAACCAACGATAAAGATGGCAATATTGACAAATGTTTGAGTGTGGTTAACATTGAAATCATTGACAAGGTACAAGTTTTGGAGAGTGAAAACAAAAGGCATCCACAAATAATCACCAAATACCAACATGAAACCAAAGTTTTCTTCAATAATATCAAACATATAAATAAGTCCATATTCAAAGACAAAAGCATCAATGGTATAGAAGAAACTAATAGCTTGGAATGTCACTAAATTTGTTGAAAGAGCTCCATAAAGACGATATTGTTCAAAAGCATAACTCAAATTTAAAACTGACATCATCAAGAATGCAGGTCTATATGAGAATTCCTTAATTTCAAATCCGAAAAAGTGTGGATTCAATTCAACACCACACCAAAAATTCATTGGAATGTTCCACTTTGGATAAAGGAAGTTTCTTTCCTTCTCTGGAATAATAAATAAACCTCTCAAATATAATAAAGTAGTCAACAAGATACTGAATACCAAACTGACTGTCAATAATTCACCAAAACTATTACAGATCAAAGTGTAGATAGCTTGACCAGCAAATTGGAAATTAGTATAACACAATGCTCCATAAATTAAACTTCCAACAAGAACAACCAACAATCCATTGGTTTTATAATAAACTCTAGAATTATCCTTGAGTGGAGCTCCCGGAACCCACTTGCCAGGGATCAACAAGGTTCCAATCACAGAAAAAAGAACAGCAGATAAATAAATTATTATAGATTCAGTACTAGGCTTTAAATTCAAGTTGGTCAACATGGTAATCACATCAAGACCACTATTGTGGTGGGCAATTTGTGCCTGTCTATTCATTTGTTGATGATGATAATATTTTTTAAAAAGAAAGTGAAAATGATTTGCCGAGCTTTTTTACTTGAAGACATTTGCTCGAAGTGGTGTCCGAATGCGCATTTCGCTATTGGAATAAGAGAATCAATATTTCGTAGTAAGAGGAAGTGCTCCTTGATGCTTAGGAAAATGTCCATTAAAAAGGAATGCTGACGGACGGGATCGAACCGGCGACCAATGGCTTATTAGACCAACGCTCTACCGACTGAGCTACGCCAGCTTCATGATAATACCATAACCACCATAGAGGGAGCGTTTCTACACATTTTTTAATCTACCACTTAACGTATTATTTTTTATTGTTTACAAGCAGATACCTTAAACGTAATATTATTGTGATTTACTTCACGTTTAGTGATTTAGGTATTGTGCTCTTCTATTCAAAAAATCTTTAATAAAATATCTCAATAAATATTAAGCATTTACCTCTTTACAACAATGTGAACAGCTATTGTTGTGGATCATCCGAGAAGAAATTCATCCGATTTGGAAAATCTTACAAATATAAAGACAGAAACCTTTAGCTATCAACTGACCAAAATTGAAGTTTCGTTGAGAACACAACTCCAAAAAAGGCCTGTTCCTATCCAAACCCTATCAAATTGCATTAATATTGATTGAATCGCGGTGTTATTACAGAGAAAATCTTGCATGGAAATTCCACAACTTTGACACTTTCATCAACATTCATTGAAAGTCTCAACTGATTCCAAATGTCTTCTCAACAACAATGAGTAACCTGAAGAAAAAAATGAATTTCAATGTTGGTGGTAGAACCATCATGATGGCAGTCTTGTTCATGATGGCCACATTCATCCTTACAAGTCCAATTAATTGTGAAGCAAATTATGCAATTGGTTCATTGACTTCTGTTGTGGAGGTAACTGATGATTGTTATGTAAATATTGTGGAATCATTCATTGTTACCAATAATCAAGTGGATAAGGAAGTTGGATACTTTTCGAGGTTTATTTCAAATGTTGAGGGTAATGTTGATATTGTTGCTCGTTCAGTGATTGCAACATCAATTACAAAGAAAATTGTGAACACTACCATTGTAAAGAGTGGTCAATATTACGAAATTGCAGTCTATCTTGATACTCCAATTTCAAAGGCAGGAAGTGATGCTTTTACTTTGAATTATCAAATGTCTGGACCTCTTGTTGCACAAGAAACAGTAAGTGTTATGGATTTGATTGTTAAAATTGCAACATTTATATTAGGTTGACTCTGTTAAAATTGATTTTACTGGCCCAATTACCATTTTCCCAAAGAAAGTAACCATTCAATTTACTGATAATGTGAAACATCTTCATGGCTATAGACAATTCACAGCCACATCCAATACTATTGATGAAGCAATCATTTCTGAAAAGTCAATTTCATGGGAATATAATTATGCTGCTAATCCTTGGGTTAAGGTTTCATTCCCTGCATTGGCAACTTTTGACCTTTGTAGAACTTTACCTCCTGAACCATTGGTTTCACTTAATGTGGTTAATTTGATTTTGATTATTACCTTATTGGTGATTCAAGTATTTATGGTTGCATTCCTTTGTTTCTCACACTTTAAAAGACCAAAATATTCAAACATGACCATGGAACCAAGTACACCAGCCACAACATTTAATTAATATTCTTTTGTTTCAATGTAAATAAGAAAATAGTATATCAAATAAAAAATACTATTTTGATGTACTACTAATTGAGGATAATCAATGAAAATAGTCTGTGAAATACATCACTACTACTCCTATTTTTGAAAAGTTCAATTGATCAATTTTTGAAAGAAATTGCTTCTGGATATTGAATCAAATTCTAATATTTTCAATGAATATTCAACCAAATATACAACAATCTTAAACAAGATATGATCCATTCTAATTCAAGCAACATCAAATACTATTTTCTAAATTTAAACAACCCAGCAAACATTCAATGTAATCCAAAACACAAAATCTTCTGCTTCTTTGTAATACAACAAATAGAAATGAAGAATTCTATTTTTATTTTAAAAATTAATAATCAAAAAAAAATGAGTCATCACGATTCGCATCACTCCTCTTCATCGTCTTCTCATCATCACGGTAGTGGTCACCAACAAAATAGAGGGGACAGATCTCCTTCTCATCATGGAGGGGGTAGTGGTAGTGGTGGTCATTCTGATAGAAGATATAATGATAATAACAATCATGATAGAAGGCTTTCATCAAGAGATTATGATAGGAGGAGAGATTCATATGATAATAGTAGGAACAACGAAAGAAGATTAACGGATTCTAGAGGACATGAACAACACTCCAGGAATGATAATAGTAGATATGATAGGAGACTTTCCGATTCTTATAGAGGTAATAATAGAGAGGATGGTGATGATTATCAGGATAATTATAAACGATCTTATAACAATAATAGTAATAATAATAATAATTATCAGAGAAATAATGATAAAAGATATTATCAACGAGACAATAGGGATGGAAGGGATAATAGAGACGGGAGAGATAACAGAGACAATTATAATAGACGTGATAGTGGTGGTAGGGATAATAGAGAAAATAACAATTATCATGGAAAACGAAGTTATAAAGATTATGAGGATTACCACCAATCTGATCGATACAATAATAATAGAGGATCATCAAGAAATTATCCAGAAAAAAGTCCATCCTATCCACAAGTTCCTCCAGAAGATCCAGAACCAAAAATCGGAACACTCTCTGAAGCTTTTACACATTTAACAAAAACTATCAATGATTATACTAATATTAGAAAATTAGGAGAAGGAACATATGGAGAGGTATGTTATTTGGATTGGAATTTATTAACTTTTTTTTAAGGTGTATCAAGCCAGATTGGGAGATAAACCTGGCTTTGTCGCTGCAAAGAAGATGAGGAGTGACTTGAGCAAGGAAAAACAAGCAGGTTTTCCAATAACTACTATTCGAGAAATTAAAATTTTGAGAGAATTGAATCATGAGAATATTGTCAAACTCTTGGATATTTCTTGGGACGACAAGTCATTCTTTATGATTTTTGAGTTTGTTGATCATGATTTGGCTGGATTATCCGAAATGGGAATTAAATTCTCTGAATCTCATTTAAGATTTTTCATGTATCAATTGATTGATGCCTTGTACTATTGCCATTCTAGTAATGTTTATCACAGAGATTTGAAAACATCAAATATTCTAATTAGAAGAGATGGTGTTTTAAAACTTGCAGATTTGTAAGTTACCCCATAGTTTTAATTTTATTAATTTTTCTTTAGTGGACTTTCTCTCTTTAAAAAGAGAACAAATAATAATTACACTAACAAGGTTGTTACAAGATGGTATCGTGCTCCTGATGTACTCATGGGATCAACAAGTTATGGGGCATCTATTGATATGTGGTCTGTTGGATGTATTTTTGGAGAATTATTACTCAGAGAACGAGCATTATTCATGGGAGAAAATGAAACTGATCAATTAGTACAAATATTTAACTGTTGTGGTACACCAGACTTGGAAGATTGGCCAGAAGTTGTGGAATTGGATGCATGGACAACAGTTAAGCCAACAGAACCAATTCCCAATACTTTGAGAAAACGTTTTAAGGATGTTAATTGTTCAGAAAAGGCCTTGGATCTATTGGAACGACTTCTCACCCTCAATCCAAACAAGAGAATAACTGCTAAAGAAGCTCTGAATCATGAATGGTTTTTCGAAGATGGTCATCCACTCAGCCACAATCCAAGATCAATACTACCACGAGAAACAACAAATGAACTTACTGCTAGAAATGCAAGACCAGCAAACTATCAAAGATCATCTGGTGCTGCAGAATCTAGAAGATATGAAAGAAGTGATCAACCACCTCACAAGAAGCAAAGGTAAAATATGATTAAATTTATTCCTACTTGAGAGAAGAATGTTTACTTGAGTATTCTTTGTATTTGGCTAATTGTTCCAACATTTCTTCCAAGAAGCCTTTTTTTGAGTGAGGGAATCTAAAATAACAAGCCTTAGTTGCTTTCGTTTTTTTAAAGAAAAAAACAATAACAAGCAAAAGTAACTTTGTGATTATTATTACCACTCTCTAATAACATAAAGGTGATTACAACTGTTCAATAAGAAATTGAGCCTTATAACCACTGTAGTAGCATTACTCTTTTTGTCATTCATTGTAAAGATCCGATTAATTATAATGATGAATCCGATTCTCATCATCAATTAATATTAAATATTAATCATTAAAAAAATGAAAAAGTTCTCCAGCACAAGCCCGAAAGGCTTTGGCAACAGTGATGAAGGAGGAGAAAATTTCAATGATTTGGATGATTCTAATAAGAATACAACAACAATAATAGCATCAAAAAGTGGAGAAGAAATTGCCATTGATAATGAAAGTATAATTACAGACGATACAAAGAATAGTTATGAGGAAAAAGCCTTTTTGGATCATCATGATGTAGAATTGTCAATATCTCCGAAATCATCATCGATACAAACAGCTACAATAGGAGGATATGCTCTAACAATTTTGGGAACACAAATGTTGAATCATATATTTAATTCGTATTATGTTGAAACATTTCTATTTATTCATAATTTACCGTATAATTACTTTTATATTGGTCAATTCTTATTTGCTATATTTAATGCAGTCAATGATCCATTATTTGGCTATATAAGTGATGAATTGATTAATGATAAAAAGAAGAGATATTCTAGGCAACGATTAATGTTATTTGGAGCTCCTTTTCTTGTCATTTCATTCCTCTTACCTTGGATTCAAATAAGAGGTTTATTTGAAGGAGATCAAAGAACAGGTCTTGGAGATTTCATTGCATTTGTGCAATTTATTTGTGCGCTCTTCTTTTGGGATACATCATTTACTTGGCTAGTATTGAATCATTGTGCATTGTTACCTGAATTGACTGAAAGTGACAAAGAAAAGGGTAAAATAAGCACAGCTGTCAGTACTTGCAGTGTTTTGGGTTCCCTCTTTCTCTTGCCAACATTTATTTTATTTGAAAGACCAAGTCAGGATCAAGGAAATTCAAAGTACACTGGAAACTTGAACTATTTTAGAATTTATTGCACATGCTTGGCTGTTCTATCATTCTGTATCATTTACTTTGGTAATTATTTAATTAATAGAGGGAGAGCCCAGAGTCTTACTAATACTCCAGTTGTTGCAAGTGAAGTAAGCGATGAGGAAGTCCCTGAAGCTCCAGAAACCAGATTTACATTCAGGCATTTGTTGTATATTATCAAAAATTATTTATTGGACTTTTTCTCAATTTTCAAACAATTAATTTCTCTCAAGAATTTTGATTTGTTTGTGGCTGTGAACTTTTTGAATATTTTCTCTGTTGCATTATTTGACTCATTCAAAGTAAGATATATTAGAAATTATGTACAACCATGGATGGAAGATAACTTTTCATTATTTACCAGTGGTAATATGGCCTCTATTTACTTGACTGTTACAACTTTTACAAGTGAATCATGTGCTGTGCTTAATAGTTATCTTAGTATTAGATTCCCTGCTTATTCATTATTAAGAAATACTTTCATATTGAGATGTGTGATTAGTATTATCTGTCTCATTGCTGTTGCCATTACAGTTCAAGAAAGAATTATTGGATCAGCACTTCCAGTACTGTTCCTATTTTGCAACATGATTATTTTAGGAAGTGTTGGTAGATTGTTGGAAATTGCTTTGAGTAATGTTGTGGATGAGGATTATGTCGTTTTCAAACGTAAAGAAAAGAATAGTGGAAACACATTTGGTATTAATGCATTGTTGACTAAACCTGCCTATTCCCTTGCTCCATCAGTTGCTGCTCTCTTTGTGAATCAAGATAAGGTTGAATCAGGAGCATCAACACTCTTCTACTTGTTTGTTGTTGGAAATTTGGTTTGTGCAGCTCTGCAATTGGTATTTTGGAAATTCTACTCCCTCAAAGGTCAACAACAAACAACAAACAATGCAAACTCTAGAGAATCATCAGCAGCTGAGAATTGTCATTAAATACTTTTTGAAATATCTCATCAACACAATAATAATATTGGAAACTTTACAATATTATTACATCATCAATTCTAAATTTAAAAAAATGTCGTTACGTTCCACCATCAAATATTCCATCATTGTTTTGATTGGAATTATGTTTTTATTGCACATATTCGGAGTGAGTGCCATTGAATTATTGGGCCAACAACGAAATCCATGTTATTCAACTAAATGCCCTTCCGATCAAATTGCAACTTTTAATTCAATGACCAAATCGTGTCAATGTATTTCCTCTGCTCCGACATTTAAGGAAAATCTATCATCACCATCATCGATATGGAAAGGAATTAAATCAATTTATAATGTTATTCACTTTGGAAAACAAGAGAAGAAGAAATGTGGACCCGTTTGTAGAAAATACTGTAGATTTGGATTTGCATTGAATGATGAGGGATGTCCAAGTTGTTCATGTAATAGTGGTCCTAGATAATTCCTGACAATTATTATTAATATATATATATTTGAGCGTACAATATTTAATAGTTTATTATTAATTTGTAATTTTAATTATTATTTAAAGTGAAAAATCATTCAAAAAACAAAATGATAAAATTTATTCTGGTGATTCTATGAAATTGTAAAAGACATTAATAAACTTACAATTTTCAATATTTTGTAATTTAATTTTAGTTTAAATAATATTTACAAAAAAAATGAAAGAAAAAGAACATTCATCAGCGGAATTGAATAATGATCCTAGTAACAACAATAATACATTTATTAAAATATTAAAATATATTTGGAATATTCTTCAAAGCATTGTTCCCAAATTGTTAACAATAACCATGATGAGTGTTTTTGTAAAATTTTTTTTTGAAAAAGTAATTTATTCGGATGGAAGTGATAAATCATTTAAAAAACAAAATGATAAAGTCTATTCTCCAGTTTTTGGTGAATTCATGAAAGAGAATCATCACGGAATGATAACTCATAAAACACCAAATCGTCCTTATTCATTTGCTTTATCTGAGAATGAAAATAGGACAATTGCTCAACAACAACAAATGGAATATTATGGACATTATGTTAATCCAATTACAGGTTTACCAAGTTTTCCTGATTATATTACACAAGAGGATAGACAATTGGAAGAATTGAGAAGAATGGATGGAACTAATAGATGGATGAATCAATAATTATTTATTATAATTTGGATAATCTTTCTAAAAGTAATGATTTTGGATGTGGTGAATTAATCCTCTTTTCAATGGGTAATTCAGAGTTTTCCATTTCATTGAATTCTTTGTAAAATTTCCTCAAATAGGAAAGATCAAGTTCATTATATTTTCTTCTGAACCATTCCAATAATTGCATCTCGAATTCGTAATCATAATCCATGAGTGGAAGAGTATGATCAATAATCCTCAAGAAGGTAGATAATATTCTCAATGTTAAGCCCCAAAGAATAAATTCCAATTCTGGTCTTTCCAATGATTGATCATGAATTGAGCTTGAACTTATCTTTACACAAGGGAAATATGTTTTAACATCCCTAATTGATATCATTTCCAAGTATTGTTTCAATCTAGGATAAACTATTCCAATACTAAAGGTCAACACACTTGTATTCGATTCATTTCCAAATCTATCTCTTTGTTTAGTTCTAATTCTTTGTTCCCTCGACTTGGTAGCCAGAAAATTCTCTAGTGGAAACCAACGCATTCCTTCCACTTCAGAAGCATTCAAATTATATTTTACACTTTTCAAATCTTTCCAAAAATATACAAAACAGCTCACTTGACAATATTTTAAATCATATTTAAATTCCTAATTTGCTGCACCTACCTGGCATATTTCCCTGAGCCAAATGATCATCCACTCTTCCAACAAGTAAAAAATTATTCCCATCCCTCAAATCAACTCCAATCTCCTCAAATGTTTCTCTAATTGCCGTATCCAAAAGTGTTTTATCTTCATTCTTTTCAAATTTACCTCCTGGAAAGCATACTTGACCAGACCATTTATCACCCTCTCTAATTGGTCTTTTAGTAAATAGAATATGTAATTTTCCATGAATAATTGTTAAATTTAAAGTAACGGCCGATCTTTTCAATGACAAATTCCGAAAATATAAATGTTCAATAACTTGAGCTTTATAATTTGAAAAAGTATTTAATATACAATCTAATAAATTATTGTTTAATAATTCACAATCTGTTAAATTTTCATCATGATTTTTATTGAATTCACAATTTTCCTCCTGTGAGTGATGATTTACAGGCGAACTTTGAATTGTTTGCATTTTTTTTTAAATTTTTCAAATGTTTTACAATAATCAAAAGTTTACAATTATAATTTTATTTTCAAAATTAAGGAAATCTGATTAATATTGAATAAGGAACAATAATAACATGGATAGAATAAACTTGATCACTGAAAAGGAATTTCCATTTGCTGAATTATTTCTCTTATTAGAAGTGTATGGTTTTGGTGGCACTGGTGGATTTGTGGAAATAATTGGTGTCGGAGGATTAATTATCGATGATTGTGGATTTGGTTTGTAACAAGTATTGTAAATTCTTGAATAGGAATCAAATGTACTAAGGAAATTATATTGTTCCTGAGTTAGGGAATTAAATTGTTGGCAAGTCATTAACTTATCTAGTCCATTGGCAGTATTGGCTACTAATTTGGTAAATTGAGGTTTTGTAACTCCCTTAATAGCATTATTATTAATATATTTAAAAAATCTGAAGAATGAGTGAGGAGATTCAAATACTACATCAGGAATAATTTCAATTTGTTCTAATGTAATACTTGAAATTGTATCATAAAGTAAATAATCTAATTGAGAAACAGTTAGTTTCGTATAAAAATCATTTTCGAATATTTGAGAATAGTTCAATAAACCACTGAAGGTTTTTGGCAGTACAGTTGAAAGTGATGTTGATAATGCCTTTCTAACAGATTCATCACTTGAAACACTCAATTGCAACCAAGTTAAAGTATCCAATTCATCACTTCTTGCCTCTCTATTCCTAAAAAGTAAGTTTCTTTCCAATTCATCCTTAAATGACCAGATAGTAGAAGATGAAACTTGTGCAACTTGTTTTTGAGAGAGAACATTAACAAATTGATTCAAACCAAAGAACTTGTAAAATTCTCTCAATTGATCAGTTGTTAAACCACTCAATGATTCTGGTGAGAAAATTGGAATTGCATTTGGTGAAAATCCTTGAACTGAATTGGCTGGAATTTGAGCGAAACAAGTTGAAGTGAAACTTGGAATTGCATTCAATTTCAAACCATTGAGACATTTGAATGTGAATCCTCTGCATGTATATTGAGGATAACTAGTTGATAATCTGGAAATTTGTTGACTGGAAAATCCAGAACAAGTGTCAGATAAAAATGTTTCTAATTGATCTGATGTTAATCCAGCAATTCCATTTTGGGATATTTGTGAGAGTTGATCTTTTGTAATAACTGAAATGGCATTTGCACTAATTTGTGAAATACATGCTCCCAAAAATCCAGAATAAGAATTTGATGGAATTGCAGATACACATTGTGAATTAATTCCCTTACAAGCATATTTTGGATAGGTAGTATCTAAATTTGGTAATTGAGTTGCTGAAAAACCAGCACATGAATCTGTTAATCCATTCATATTATCACTTGTGAATCCAGAAATTGATTTTGGATCAATGTTACTCAATTGATCTGCTGAAATTTTTTGAGTGGTTTTGAAAAGCAACTTTGCAATACATGAAGCAGTAATTGACTTGAATGTATCTTTTGGAATATTTGAAATGCAGGATGGAGTAATACCTTGACAAGCATAATTTGGATAATCATTGACAAGTTTTGAAATTTGTGATCCTCTAATTCCCTTACATGATGAATCTGATAATCCAGCAATATTAGATGAAGTGAAACCTGAAAATGAATTTGGATCGAATTGATACATTTGATCTTGAGTTAAACTACTGAAAGAAGTATCACTCAATTTAGAAACACATGCTGATGGAATTTGTGTAAAGGCATTGGCAGGAATTGCACCCAAACAATCTGATGAAAATCCACTACAAGCATAGGAAGGATATGAATTATCTAAATTAAACATTTGATTTGCAGTAATTCCAGCACATCCACTTGTTGATAGATATTGTAAATTATCTGATGAAAATCCTGAAAATGATGTTGGTGGAATTTGAGCTACTTGATCACTTGAAAAGGATTTCATAGCAGATTTTACAAGTCTTTTAACACATTCAGGTTTCATACCAGTAAATGCAGAAAATGGAATATTTGAAATACAATCACCCACAAATCCAGAACAAGCATAACTAGGATATGAGTTAACAAGATTTGACATTTGAAGGGATGTAAAACCAGCACAAGCAGCAGGTGATACTTTTTGAAGATTATCTTGAGAGAAACCTCCAAATGATGAAGATGGAATTTGAGAGAATTGATCAGCTGAAAGTGAATTCAATGCAGAATCAGATAATTTCTTTAAACAATCCAAACCAATTCCACTAAATGCAGTTGAATTCATGTAAGAAATACAGGAACCAACAAAACCACTACATGAATTCATTGGATAACTACTATCCAAGTTGGATAATTGATTGGCTGTCAATGCAGAACAAACTGGTTGAGAATTAAGTGCTTGTAACAATGATGAAGTAATTTTTGCAAAGGATTTTCCAGGTAATGCTTGAACTTGATCAAAAGTCATTGAATTGAATACTAATCCATTAATATTTGCTACGAAATCACTTGAAACAGAACTTAAACTTTGTGGTAAAATGTTAACAAAACAATTGGCAGTAAATGCACTTGAAATTCTTGTAGGATAATTAACTAGCAATGAATTCAATTGATTTGACTTGAATCCTGAACAAGCAGTTGGGTTTAAATTCGCAATTTGATCTGCTTTGAATCCAGAGCATGCATTGCTGGGAATTTGAGAAAGTTGTTCTGCAGTAATGGTTTTAAATACTTGAGAATCCAATCGATAGAGTTGATCGGATGTTAGAGTTGACCAATTAATATCATCTCCTTTAACAAGAGATGCAGTTGTTAAGCACAATATTGTGAGTATTAGTGCGAAACAATTGGTTGTGAAAACTTGTTTCTTCATTTTTTTCTTGATTTTCGTCTGTTCAACATTGCGTTTCGCTCCCAGATAATAGACGAAAGAGTGTTACCGTTTTGTACATGAGATTGGAATTGATTTTTAGAAGGTTTCCACAACAAATTCCTTTTATTTTTTTTGAGCTCCATTGGATGTCCTCAAACTCCGTAATTATAGGCGCAGTCACCCCTTAGCTCAATGGAAACAACAACTTTATCAGTCACTCTGGTAGGTACTAATTTTTTGTCTTGGAAGGTGAAGGAATTAATTGTTGATCCTGTAACACTTGGCAAGATACTTTGATTTTAAAGAATCTAATTTACTTTTTAATAACAGGGAAACCATCAATGGATGTAACGTTAGGCAGTATGAGAATAATCTTACGTTTGTACTGTGGATCATTGAAAAATAAATTACTTCTGAAATAGACACTTGTTAATTGTGGTAAATTAACAAGCTTTTCAACTTCCTTGAATGTTTCAAGTTGATTGTCATTGATCCAGAGCTCTTCCAATTGAATCAAATTGTCAAGACCACTTATTTGTTTGATGAAATTTTGAGCCAAATCCAACAATACTAACTCAGTTAATGTGTCTAGTCCTTCTATTGTTTCAATACCATTTTCACTGATATAGAGTTCAGTTAATTGTGTTAAATGATTGATATTTTCAAGTTTTTTGATTCTATTGCTTTGAAGACTTAATCTAATCAATTGTTTGAGTGTATTCAATCCCTTAATTTCAGTAATCTTATTCTTTCCCAACCATAATTGTTTGAGAGTTGTTAAATTTTCTAAATTTTTAATTTCTCTCAATCTATTTGCACCAAGTTCCAATAATTCCAATGCAGGTAAATCAGTTTCTCCCTTTGTAGCTTCTTCTTCAATTTCTTTAATCTTATTATTTACATAGTAGAGTTCTCGGAGGTGTGGCATTTTCAAACCTTTAACCATGTGACGTAACTTGTTAAAAGACAAATCCAAAATTCTTTAAATACTTTAAATAGGTTGCATTCATTTGAAACAACTTACTCTAAATTTTGTAAATGATTCAATTCATTAACATCAACTCTCTTAATTTGATTACCATACAAATCGAGATGAACAAGAGATTTTAATCCTTTCAATCCTTCAACTTTTTCAATCAAATTTTGTCTCAACAAGAGAGATTGCAAATTAACTAAATGATCCAAATTTTCAATCTTTTTCAATCTACAATTTGTCAAATCTAAAAATTGTAAATTTATACTTAATGGATAACCAGCTCCGATGGATTCATGAGGATGATGAGCTAAATCCAGGTGAGGACTCTCCAAATCAATTTCTAATTTTTCTCTTGGAATTGGATCGAATTTTTGTACTTCAGTTGATGATGTTTGTTCTTCTCCATCAGAATCGGAATCCATAACATGATCATTCATTTGTTGTTCACTGGTGGTGGTAGTAGAAGTGATAGGTTGAGTGTTGGTGATGGCTTGTTTGTTTTCTTGTTCGGTCGACATTTTTTTTTAAAGAATTTTTACCAAATTTCTTCATCTAAATTTAGAATTTAGATTTTAGTAAAATTGTTTTTTAAATAATTTTTTTATAAAGAATTTGTTTGTTGATTTTCCTTTGACCAAGCTAAGATTTAAAATATCATAGTATTTACTCATGAATTGTCCATTTGTAATTGGAAACTAATCTTTGAAAATTATAGGTCCGAATTCAATGATGTTAACTAACCTGTAATATTCCCATCTATTGGATTTTCTTTAAACAAATTAAACTGTTATCAATTCAATTTGTTTCTCTGATGCTGAACAACTATCATTCTTTTTAGTTTTCTTTTTCCTTAATTTGCAAACAATTATAATAAGACATATACTCAAACAGCTCAATAATATTACAACCAATAGTCCGAATAGTCCAAATAGGCCATATAAATGATATTGGTTTGAAATTGGCAGTATTGGATTCATAATATCTTCGCTATTTAGAATCAAGGTGTTTGTGAGTATCTTTTCAAGAATAACAATTGAGGAAACTGAGTTGGGACAAACACAAATGACATTTGGATATGAGATTCTGGTTGAGCAGTTGGAAACTGACATGTCAAATAGGCTCTCAAGAGGTGTACATTCTAAAGTGGTATTCACAGTGTTCCTTGTTTGAATTTCCCTATTTTCAAACGATTCTACTTGATGAGAGACTTTTTCCAAATTTAAATTTGTAAAATTGTAATTCTGCATATTGAAAATGAATTGATGATTGGATTCATACTTCTTATCCATTACAATCACATTGGTCATTAAATTGAGCTGTTTAGAAAACGATTCTTCTCTATTTTTCAATGAATAAATTACTTGTTTGATAAATTGTTTAGAAAGTAAACTTGAAATTCCAAAACAATCACTAATAGAAAACATTGATGTAGATAAAACTATTCTATTAGAAACATCACCCATTATTTCATCAAATCGAATAGAATACGTGTTATTTCTCAGAGATATAATCTTGTTTGAATGTTGATTTCTGTAATTCAGAGATGCAACACTCGAGAATTCTGATAAATTAACTGAATAATCAACTTGTCCAACAAAATAATTTCTCATAAAAATCTTATTTGTCATTTTTAACAAATTAATCAATCTGGTTCTGTAACTATTTTCTATTCTTCTTAATAATCTCATAAAATGATTCAAAAGACTATTAATTAAATAATCCACTCCATAAGAAGTTCTTAATTTTGTGTTTTGATTTGCCATGAAAATTAACTTTTCTGTCAAATTAAACATTTTCTCAAATGGTAATGAAGAAATACTTTCTGAACTTGCAGCAATTGATTCCAATCCAAAGATGAAAATCTTTAAATGTACATCCCACAATAGCTCGAGAGGATTTCTTTCATTAATACCAACAATCATTCTGTCAATCATTTCTTCTCTCAATGAATATATAGCATTGTAATCTTCAACTGTAAGCAAGCAATTCAAAGAAGTATACCCTTCATCACATTCACATTTTCCACTTTCTGAATTGTATTCTCCATGATTAGAACATGGTGCAGATCGTTTCGAATTTAATTTTGCTAACATCAACTCTGCAGTTCTGGAGATTGTTGCAGAATTGAACACCAATTTGGCACTGTCACTTGCAGATGAGGCATATTTCTGCCATAATGTCACTTTCTTTTTTGTTTCTGTGACACTCTTTGCTACAGGTGTTAAAATTAAAACTTCCTTTTTAATTTCAACAGATGCACCAGTGTCAGTGTCAACAATTGAAACAAATGTTGATAAAGTTTCACCTGTATATGGAGATGGGAAATAAGTTGCAAATTTCTCTCCCAAGTTGTAAAGTGGAATCTTGACACCTGACTTGTCGTCAATAAATCCAAAGACAAAATCAATTGTGCCTTCTGCATTCTGACAATTAGGACATGAAAATGAGAAGGAAGTTTCCAAAGCGTAACCTGATGATGGACTTATTGAACATTTGCAAGATTTTGGAGATTTTACAACTTTGAAAGAATAGGAATATAAAGAAGCTAGTCCATTGATAATATCCGTTGCTTTGAGTGTGAGTGTATACTCAGTATCCTCAAGCAGTTCAGAAAGTGATAAAATTAGAGAAGAAGTTTTTGAAATGTCAGATTTCATCAAGGTTGTCATGGATGCATCAATGGATTTATCGTTCATTGTCCATTCTCTTGATATATTTTCTTCGAGAGTTATCTTTTCATCACCATTTAAAATTACAGAAAGTTGTAAACTCAAAATTTCATCTTTAGTAACCTTAAACCTCTTTGGATAAACTGATACTAAACTAATCGCTGGAGGAATATTTGACACACTAGATGGGAAAGTTACCTCAATACTTTTTTCAATAAATCTTGATCCTTTTTGAATCAATAAGGAAATATCGAATTTTGAAAGTGTTGACTTTTGAATGGTACAAGTTTCAGATTTTTTCTTGGAACATAAAGCCAAAGAGGAAGTAATTGAAGCATCTTGACAAGCCTGCTTTGAATCAAGGCATTTCCATGTCCATTCTTCTGTTGATTGTAAGTTATCTGGATCTGAATATTCAACTTGTAACGTTGCCTCTGAAGTTGACAAGCTTGATGTGAAAATATTCAACTCAAGCTCTTTGGATTTTGTTGATATTGTGACACTTGAAGTTGAGCTATTTGAATGAGAGTCGAATTGAGCTTGAAGTTGGAATGAATAAATCTGATCCGCACCATCTTGGAATTCTTTAATTACAAGATCATTATTAGAGTCAATTTCATAATTCAATGAAGATCCACTGATTTTGGTCCAAACATAGGTGAATTCCTTATTACCAAAATAGCAAGATGGAAATTCAATGGTCTTTTTGATAATAATTGGTACACTATTCAATTCTACATTCGATAATTTGCTGTTAATTATTGAAATTGTTGGACTTGGAACAGTTGACTTGGTGATAGTGATAAATTCCTTTTCACTTGATACACCACTCAATGAACTTTGAATAATCAATCCAAAGATATAAACACCAGATGATCCATTATCTACACGAATGGAAGAATTGAACTCATTAGTGTAAATTATATTTTGAAAGCTCAATTTAGGATCATCAGATGATTCAATTGACCAAATATATTTTAATGGTTTCAAATCACCACAATAGGATTGAGAAGCATCAATTTCAATCATCTCACAACTACTAATCAATTTCTTGTATGACAATACAGCAACAGGTTTCACAGGATTGAGAGATGGAATCACAGTCAATGATAAATAAAGAGTTCTACTTTCAGAATCATCCAAACCATTCACATTAATTGTAATATTTTGTCTAATGGAGTGTTGACCTCCGAGTTCAATAAAGAAATTTGAGTTCTTCCAATAACATGTTGGATTCTCTCCAAAAATGGTATTATCAACTGTAACTATGATTTTCTTACAATCCACAACATGATCACTCATAGTAATTGAAGTTTTGAAATGAAATTCAAGAGTATTACCATAATTATTAAAATTAGGTTGTGCTAAAAGAAATACAGAACATTTCGTACCATAATAACCAGTCTTGCATTGACAAGTGTCATTCGATATACAAACGCCACCATTATTGCACACACTGTCATTGGACTGGTTAATTCCATAACAGGTAATTGGATCAATAGACTTATTTTGACACTCCACACCAAAATATAAATCATGACATTTGCATAAATTCTGTGAAATGCAAGAACCATGCCCATTACACACCAAAGAATTATTGAACATTTTACCAAAACATTCGAACATCGATGTGTTATTAGAAACTGTTGAATCATTCAATATTTGAGAGTTATTAGAATTCAATGTGCTGTTCACTATAGAATTATTCACCATATTGTCGAATCTTGTTTCATTTAGTGTCTCTTTAGTAGTTATATTTGAAGAGATGGTTTCATTTCTCATTGTATCATTAAATTGAGTATAGTTTCGTCCTTCAGTAGTATTGGAATTAGAAACTGTATTATTTGAAATACTTGAGTTATTTGTGCTATTTGAATGAAGGTTGATATTTGTGTCATTTCTCACAGTCGAATCATTATTCATTTGTGTAAAGTTAGTTCCATGGTATGTACTATTAGAAACTAGAGTATCATTGACCATTGAATGATTGCTTATATCTGTGCTATTATTAAGAGTTTCATTCGAAATTAAACTATTGTTTGTACCTTGTTCAGTTGTATTATTAATAACAGAAACGTTATTTGAATTTGAATTATTTGATTGTAACGTTGAGTTTTCAATTTGTGAGCTATTGGTTATTTCAAAAGTTGAATTTGAAATGGTAGAGTTGAGTGTACTATTTGAGGATATCGTAGTATTCTCAATATGGGTTTCGTTTGATTGAAAAGTGTTATTAGAAATGGTATTATTTTCATTACCGAAACTCTTGCTTTCATTACAATAAATTCCATAATAGCCTTCTAAACAGGAACAATTATTCCAAGACGAACAATTTCCATGTGATGAGCAAACACTTGTATCATTTGATAGTATTCCAAAACAAGTAGTAATTTCACATTGAGTAGAGAAATAGCCATCATTGCATTGACATGTGTCAGTATCATTACATTTACCATTTCCACTACAAACCAATTCTGATTCATTACTCAGTGTTCCAAAACATAATCTGAGTGAACAATCTTGTCCAAAATATCCCTCTTCACATTCACATGAATTGTAATCGAAACAAACTCCTTGACCACCACAAGCTGAAACGTTATTGTAATGAATTCCAAAACAAAATGGATCTTCTTGGTAGCAAAATCCATATCTATCTCTCACACAATCTACAGATAATCTTTCAATTCCATATGATGTGGTTAAATATAGATAATCTCCATCTCTTGTTTTGGTTGTCTGGCCAAATTTATAGTCAAAATCAGAATAGAAATATAGACCTGTAAATGGAGAATAGGTTAATGTTTTTCCATCAGGTATTTTTTCACCATTAAACATGGACATGATGAAAAGATATCCATCTTTGGTAAATTCTTCTCCAAAAACATTGTTATAACCATTCAAAGTTGTTGGATTGTAAAGCGTTCCATTTCCTGGAATGATTGTAGCAATATTTGCACTTGGAGAAGCTATTCTCAAAGGATTATCATCTTCATATTCTCTGAAATAGACATCTCCATTTGGAGCAATCGACCATAAAGCATATCTACTCATTGGTTGAAGCGAGTAAGTTGTGTTAATCTTTAAACCACCAATGGGTTCCAATGTTGTATTGGAATCTAATTGATAAAGAACTGCATTGGTAGCAAGCAGATACAGCTCTCCACTTGGACTTGATGCTACCGAATCAATATCATACGGAAGATATGGTGATTTAATCACTGAAACCACTGAGGTGTATGAATTTGTAATTTTTGTAATGGAATAAGTGACTGGATTGGTCACTGGGAAATCACTCACATAAACATCAGAACTATTCATAGAACAATGAATTGTTCTGATATATTTCCAAGTGTACAGTGAAAGTGATGTTTGTACACGAGTATTGATATTATACTTGTATATAAGAGAATTGACTGTACTTAAAATTAATGTATCATTACCAGAAAGACATATTCTATTATAGGTACCCAAACTAATTAATACTTCTGAGGTTCCTGCTCCCTTGTGTCTTACTTTGAGACCATCATGTAAGTAGTAAATACTTCCATTCGATGTGAGTGCAAAATCAACAGAAGTTGAGACAGGTACTCTAATTTCTTCAGTTAGCATTCCGTTTGAAACTTGGTATATGCTGGAAAAAGTGCTGTTGTAAATATTAAGGTAGCAATTTCCACTAGTTGGATGAAACCTTATGGTTGATGATCCACCTATCAAAACATCTTCAATTGGAACAGGGTAATAAAGGTTTAGTCCACTCACTCCATTCTTTCCTATAAATCTTCTTAATTTTTTATCCTTATCAATATAGACCACAATATTGGTATTTCTGATATATAGAACACCATTCAAATCAAAAGTCATTATTCCAGGACTTGCACTCTCTCTAATAAATTCAGAACCAAGTAAATGTCCATTAATACCACCGACAGCTTTTCCTTGAGCTTCACCATTACCAAAATAACTTCTCAATTCACCAGTATTTGGATTCAATTCCATAATTCTATTCAAACTCATATCTCTGTAATAAAGTAAATGATTATGAATTTTAATGTCATCAATGCCATATATTCTGGTTTCAAGAGCTTTTTGACCATCAAATTTATAAAATATTCCAGTGTCATTTCCTGCAATAAGTTCTAAACTTTTTGTTTTGAGGTAAAACTTGTAAATTTTCCAACTTGTAATAGTGCTGGCCATGTAAAGGAATGAATAGTTGAGATCTTCCACAAATAACATAGTCACTGTAATGTCCAGTTTTGTGAAAAGGGATAATATACCTGTCTGTCTGGAAAATCTGTAAAGAGTTTGATTATCAGGATCAATAATCAAAATATCACCATTTCTAAATACTTGTGCAATCTTTTTGGCTGATTTAAACTGTAATCCATAATCATAAGAAGAGTATGATAAATTGAGACTCTTTTTAACAATGGCAGAAATGGTTGACTTTTCAAATGCTTTAAAGATGGCACCTCCAATTGAGAGATAATATTCAAGTTCATTATTTTTCTTTTCGACTGAAATTCCCGCCAATAAAAACGTCACATTTTGAAACATTTGATCTTGTCTAGAAATGTCAATTATATCACTTCCTGTTCCAGCAACTATTTTAATAACTCCATTCCTGTCAATCTTCCTAATGGTAAGAGAGTTATCAGTGAGGAGAATTTCACCATCTGAAATTGTTACTAGTTTTGGCTGGTCAAAACAAGCAGATTTAGCATCGCCCTCAAATGTAGCATTAGGTGTACATGCTATCCAACTTCCAGCAACTGTATAATAGGCACCATTAACAACTTTAAGAATGGCATTACTCACAGTAAAGTAAACAATATCATTTTTTGCAAGTAGGCTGCTAATGCTTCCTAGATTAGTATTTGCAGGTGAGCCATCTATTGGGAGTGTTGAAGCACTTGTTCCAGTGGCTCCAGAAAAAGCTGAAACCATTTTGGTAGTGTTAGAAACTTTCCTAATTCTAACATTAAAATCTACCACATACAAATTTCCATACTCATCAATAGTAAAGGCTTTGGGAAAGAATTTAGCACTAGTGGCAAACTGACCGTCTGACGTATTGGTGCTTGTGAGTGAACCAGCAATTGTAGTTACCAAATTTGTGGTTTTTGATATCATCCTCACACGTTTTTGATCCATGTAGACACAATCACCAGTTGCAGGTGATTTAAAAACACTCACAACATTATTCATTGAAGCACTCGTTGAATCAACACTTTTAGAATCAACACCATCATCAGTTCTACTTCCCTTACCGAGAAACAATTCCACAGTTTTGCTGCTGGATTTGAACCTTTTTAATATTGTCTTTTCAACAAATATAATATCACCATTGTCCATCACACACAAACTAGAGGGTTCAATTTTAGCAATATCAGCAGGTACCTCAAGAGTAGTGTCAGTATTCTTCACAAGGGTTTCCTTTTGATAGGAGTTGAAACTCATTACATACTCAACACTGATGAATAGTAGTGAAAGAAAAATTAAATATTTTACCATGTGCTGAAGCATATTGTCACAGAGAAGCTTTTTTTTTCAACAAGTCCCTTTGTGATTACGTGCAAATTAAGGCTCTTTCCTTAATGAACTTCAAGGTATATGTATAGGACGTAGATTCAATAGCATTACTAAATTTCATCGTGAAAAATCTCGTGTGGGAGATTTAAAATACAGTAAATACAGTATCCAAAAAAAATTGCCTGCAATAACACATTTATTACATATTATTGGCTTTGGAATTATTTTTGATTAAATATTAATTTCTTCCAAATTTTGAATTCATAATAATAACTAATTTATTTTTTTAATTGAATTACGTGTTTTATTCTAGAGAGTTTTTATTTCTTTTCATAATTGTTGATGTTAGGAGATGCAGTGTAAGTTATTGTATTAATATTGAACAAATAGTTTCATCAATACGCACCCGAAAGAACCCAAGTTGTATGAGTAAGATTTCACTCTGCCTAAAGTAGCACTCTAACAACCAATAAGCCAAAAATCTAAGAGGTTAAAAACAAAATAAAACCATAATTTTTGTTGTAGTGCCAACTTATTCTTCAGATATTATTCACCCTCATGATGATAATTTCCCTCCATCATCACATTGCCATTTAATTAATGCGCTCTCCATCAATATTTTTAGCTTGATGATGTGTGCAGCAAGATGTTTTGCAAGCACAAACCTTGTTGGTATCCTCTATCAAAAAAAAATTTGTGGTTCATTGTTCAACCACAACAGCAACAAACTATTATCCAGCTTGCCAGCCAAGAACGCATCAAAAAAGCGGTTACATTTATTTTTTAAAATTATCGCGCCAAGAAGCTCTTGTTCTCTGTGTGATACAAATACTACTCTATTGACCATCAGAGCGTAAAAAATAGAAAGCACCAATATTTTGACAACGCTGCTTTTAAATTGTGCCGTCATCGCTTCGACTAAAAACTTGAAAACATCACATTTTATCATCAGAGAAATTTTAATTTTCAACATTATTTGATCATCATCAGCTCCGCGTCATCATTATGGACAAACAACTTTCTTCTCAACAACTTCAGTTGTATATGGGCTTGTTGAAGAGGTTGAAGAGTGAAGGAAAGGATTTGAATGACCCACAATATAAAAGTCTTCATCAATTCTTGAAAGCACAACTTAACAATCAAAATCAGATGAAACAACAAAATCAACAGACAATTAACAATGTGCTTCCAACACCCGTACAACCTTCACTAGCAACCATCAATCCACAAACTCTACAACAACAACAACCACAACAACAACAAAGTTTGTTCACTACACAACAAAAGGAAAGATTGAAAGCACAAATCTATGCTTTTAAACATCACATTTCTAAGAGAGAACCAATTCCTACTTCTTTACAATTTGCTATCATGGGCAACAATGTTGAGAATAATTTGAAGGAATATGAAACAGTTTACTTGAAGCAAGGTGCTCCACAATCAACAACAACAACAACAAATGTAGGACCAGTCATTCCACAACCTCTTCAACAACAACCAAACAATGTTCAATTAAATACTCAACTCCGTAAAGTGCAACCAAATCAACCAAATCAACCACAACCATTTGTTAATCCAAATGGACAAATGATCCAAGCACCAAATATTCCTAATCAACATGTTCAAATGAATGCTGCCAAACAAATGGAATCAAAGATAAATCCAGATAGTCAAAGACAACAAAATCTAGATCTTCAAACCTTGTACAAGGAAAGAGAAAAGAGAATTCAACACAAGATGAAAAGAAGATTTGATAATCTCAAGATGAGTTTTACTTCTCTTCCACAAAATGAGCAAGTTAAAGCAGCTATTGAGATTAAACAATTCCAATTACTTAAACAACAAAAAGAATTAAGAGCAGATATTATTCGTCAGCTAAAAAACCAGTCAGTGACTCAAAACGGTGAGAGTCATATTGCAAGAACCCAATCCTTGGTTAATGAAATTCCGAAGAAAAATAGATCAACTAAACCAAAGGAAAAGAATACTAACAAAAGTAAGAAGGCAATCCTAGCCGATTTGATTGCTAAGAAAAAGAAGATCAAGGAAGCCTTCAAGAATGATATCAAGAAGCCAGTAGATAAAATTAACAAAGATTTGACACAATTCTTTGAAAAGAAGGCAAAGGCTGAAAAGGAAAAGAAAGCTAAAGCTGAAAAGGCCAGATTGAAGGCTTTGAAAGAAAATGATGAAGAAGCCTACTTTAAATTATTGGAACAAACAAAGGAAGGAAGATTGACCGAATTACTTAAACAAACAGATTCATGTCTTAAAAGTTTGGGAGCATCTTTGGTCTCTGAAAGAGATGGTGATGCTGAAGTTGTAGAATTTGATCAAGAAGAGGATGGTGAAAAGGGTGGATCATTGTTTAAGAAATTCTTACTCAACCAAAACAATTACTATAAGGTTGCCCACAGACTTGTTGAAAAAGTTGAAAAACAACCAACAATTCTTAAAGGAGGTGATCTTAAAGCATACCAGATACAAGGTTTACAATGGCTTGTTTCTCTTTATAACAATAGATTGAATGGTATTTTAGCTGATGAAATGGGTCTCGGTAAGACAATTCAAACCATTTCACTTTTATCATATCTTTACGAGTTTAAAAGTAACAAGGGTCCACACTTGGTAATTGTACCATTGTCAACTATGGACAATTGGGCTAACGAATTTGAAAAATGGTGTCCAACTTTAAAGTTAATAAGATATAGTGGTACCAAACAAGAAAGACAAAAAATTCATTTAGAGTTGAAGAAACAAGACTTTGAAGTTTTATTGATCCAATATGAATATATTACCAAAGAAAAGAAATTCATGAAAAAGATTCAATGGAATTATATTATCATGGATGAAGGTCACAGAATTAAGAACTCTGATTGTAAATTAGTTAAAGCTCTCGCTGAGTATACTTCAAGAAACAGAGTTTTGCTTACTGGTACTCCTCTTCAAAACGACTTGAAAGAGTTGTGGGCACTTCTTCATTTTTTATTACCTAAGATTTTTGATAGCTCTCTCAACTTTGAAAATTGGTTCAATTCTCCTTTTGCTGCTTCTGGTGAAAAGGTAGAAATGACAGAAGAAGAAAAACTTCTTATTATTCACAGACTTCACCAAGTTCTTCGTCCTTTCCTCTTGAGAAGAGAAAAGACAGATGTTGAAGAACAATTACCTGAAAAATCAGAAAAGGTTGTTTATATCGATTTATCAGCCATGCAAAAAACATTGTATCAAAATATTCAAGATAAGAATAAGATTGTATTGAATGGTAAGAAACTCAGAAATACATCTCTGAACAATACTGTTATGCAACTTAGAAAAGTTTGTAACCACCCTTATTTATTCTTCAAAGAAACTGAGTATTTGAATAATTTGAGCGATGAAACTTACTATGATTGGATGTGTAGATCATCTGGTAAATTTGAATTATTATCAAGAATTTTCCCTAAGTTGAAGAGAACTGGTCACAGAGTTTTGTTGTTCAGTCAAATGACCCAAATTCTTGATATTTTCGAGGAATTTTTATCTCATCTTGGTTATGAATATCTTAGACTTGACGGTGCTGTTAATGCGGCTGATAGAGGTACCCTTGTCAAGCAATGGAATGCCAAGGATTCTCCATATTTTGTTTTCTTGCTGAGTACACGTTCAGGTGGTTTGGGTCTTAACCTTCAAACTGCTGATACTGTTATCATGTTTGATAGCGATTGGAATCCTCAACAAGATTTGCAAGCTATGGCCAGAGCTCACCGTATTGGTCAAACTAAGTCTGTTTTGGTTCTTACATTCTGTACACGTACTCCTGTAGAAGAAAAAGTCAGAGATCGTGCCCAAGAAAAAAGAGATGCAGAAGCCAAGGTCATTAAGGCTGGTAAATTCAATCAAAAATCTACAATTTTGGAAAGACAAGAACTTTTGGAAACCCTTCTCAAGAAAGAAAGTGATATTTACAGTGCTCACGAAGCTCCTTCTGATGAACAAATGAACAATTTGTTAGCAAGAAGTGATGATGAATTTGAAATCTTCCAAACTATGGATAAGGAACAAGAAGCACAACTTATCGAAAAATATGGTGAAAATGTTCCTCCTCGTTTGATGTCTGCTGATGAACTTCCATCATGGATAAGAGAAGTTGGTGAGGAAGAGGAAGAAGAAAAGGAAGAACTTGGAAGAGGTAGAAGAAAACGTGCCGAATCATCAATCATTGACTCAAGTGATGAAGAAGATGGAGATGAAGACGATGAAGAAGTAGCTGAACCAGAAGAAGAACCTGAGGAAGAAGAAGAGGAAGAGGAAAACACAAAGAAGAGAAAGAGAAAGGCACCAGTAAAGAAAGAAGAACCAGCAGCAAAGAAAAAGAAAGCACCTGGTCCAGGAAGAGGTAGAAAGAAGAAAGTAGTTGAAGAAGAACCAACTCTTGGATATTCTTATGATGGTAAATCATATGATAAAGTTCTTGCTGATTTGAGTGATACGGTAACTAAGAAACTTTATCAAATCTACATGGATATTGGTAATACAACTGATGATACTGGAAAATCTCTTGTTTTTCCTTTCTTAGAGCTTCCTAACAAGGAAGAATACCCAACTTACTATGAAATTATTAAGAATCCTATTTGTTTGCATGACATTGAAAGGAAGGTTAGAAATGGTAGTTATTTAGGAATTGATGATATGGAAAGAGATGTCAAATTATTGGTTAGTAATGCCAAGACTTATAATCTCGAAGGATCCCCAATTTATGTGGATGCTGAAACCATTGAACAATTATTCATTAGGAAAAAGACTTTAATTTTCAATGCAGTTAGTGCTGATGAATTAATTGATGAAATGGATGATAATGATTTGCCACCTTTTTAAAGTACTTGTAAATAAATGTGAAATACTTGTTAACAATTTGAGATGAATGATTTATTTGTTGAAATGTAAACCATCCATTGTTATACTGAGCTTATTAGTATAAATTTTTACCAACACAACCCAATTGAGCTTTCGGTTAATTATTAATGTTTCTTTCCTATTCCCCCTACATTTTTCTAATTAATTAAAAAACTTATTATTATCATTCAGGAAAAATGGTAAGTTAAATCTCCACTTTCAAAAATGGTCAAATCCACATAGTACCTTTTATGGACTGTTGAGTGCTGTCAGACGCATAATTTTAACTTTAAAATGTCACCCAACTAAAAAACATCATTAAAAAAAACAACAACTACTATAACATACAACACAACAATCATGTCAACAACAATCTCTGTTGAAAGACGTCAAGTACTTCATAAACTCATCAAGGAACAACATTTAGAAACACTAAGTGATGAAATTCAAAGAGACAAATCCAAAATAACAGAAAACTTTAATGTTGATGAATTGTATGCATTAGATAACAATGGTAAAACACTTTTAATGACTGCAACTGAGGAAGGAAACATTCAAATGATTAGATTACTACACAAACAATTCAATGCTAGTTTAAATTATTTGGACAAGAATCAACAATCTTGTGTTTTTTATTGTGTAGAGATGAAGAATTATCACAAATCTGAAACTGTAAGTTGTTGTTTTTATTATCATGATAAAAGAAATGTTTACTCTTCATTACATATACACATTGATGAATAATTCAATGATTTTCAATGATGATTCCTCATATGATTTATTCGTTTCTCTTATCTAATACAATATACACAAATAGATTTTAGAATATTTGTTATCCAATCAAGCCAATGCCAATATTGTGAATAGTTGTGGTTATTCACCATTCTACATTGCCCTGAAGAATAATAATCTTCCAGCTGCCTACCTATTATATGCCGAAGGAAATGCCAATATTAATCAAATTATTGATAAGGACAATAATACAGCAATTCATGAGGCTGTTAAGAGTGGTAATATTGCAAGTGTTGTCTTTCTCGTTACTCAATGTGGTGCCGATTTGTTAAAAACAAATACAAGGGGTGAAATTCCATTCTTCTTAGCACTTCAATATCCAAGAATGATTAATCAAGTATTGAAATCATTGAGTCCAAGTGGAAAGGAACCAAAGAGAACACTCATTAATAGCAGTAGTGCTAATAAGAGAGCTAGTTTCGATGCTGTTGAATATGTGAATACTTTGGTGAGATTTAAGAATCCAGAAAAACAAAATATTCTTCACAAATGTGCATCAATGGGATATATTCATTCATTGGGTGAATTATTAACACATTTATCTGAACAGAATATTAGTGAAATGACTTGTGAAAGAGATCAAAATGGAAACACTCCACTTCACTTGTCAGTTATTAATAATTATCCTGAAATTTGTTTCTCATTGAATCAATTGAAACCAAGTGATTGTTTAATTCAAAATAATGATGGTGATACTCCAATGCACATTGCTTTAAAATCATCTGCTTACAAATGTGCTCGTATCTTGTACAATAATTCTAAAGCATGTACCAAGGTAAATAATAAGGACGAAACTATTCAATTCCTCCTTCAACAATTCAAACATGAATTGAAACAAGAAGATGACATTTCCAAAACTCTATTACAAATTGATTTGACCAATCCAGAAAATTACAGATTCCACAAACTCATCACTGATCATACCTTTGTTTCCAAGATGAAAGATTTCCTTAGTTTAAATAATAATCAAGATATGATGTTATTCTATGAAACAGTTCAAGAATTTAAAATGATAAATTCACACTCTGAAAGATATCATCAGGCTGAACAAATTGTTGAACATTTCATTTCAGAAGATTCTCAACACAAACTCAAATTCCTAAAGAATGCATTCGGTCCATTCCGTGTTAAATTCAATGAATGTTCAGCTGATCATTGTCCAAAGGATTTATTCTTGAATTTGGAAACTTTGGCCATTCGTTCACTTAAAGTTGATTCATTTCCAAAGTTTATTCATAGTAAACTTTTTACAAAATATCTTGAAAGAAAGAAGCAAACTGATCCAACATTCCTTGTCAGATTTATTAAATCTGAATTAACTTCTGACAAGTCATCAGATGACACTTCAGATCAAGGTGGTTCAACAAGAGGAACTCATCATTCAACAACAACTGGTGGTAGTACAAATAATACAGGATCAACTTCAAGTGATAAGGATAGATCAAGTGATAGTGATGAAATTATTGAACTTGAAGATGATTGTGATGTTAAGGAACATGTTAAATTCTGTCCAAAATGTGGTACTGAACTTATCAATTTGGAAAATTATGTCTATACTGATAAGGAATTTAAAAAGATTATTGAAAATCTCAAAGATATGAATCAGTGGAGAGTTATTCATGATTCAGATACTGGACGTACCTACAGTTCACCACCAGAACTTCACAATCACTTGAGTAATTCACGTCGTCACACTCAAATCAAATATGTTGGTGAAATGGAGTGCAGTTCTCATTCACTTTTCAATATGTGGATTGATCCAGATTATATTCAATCAAGAGAAGAAAGATTAGAAAGTTGTAAACAAATTGATTTTATCAAATCTGGAAATTATGCAACTGTCATTCATCATGAAATTTTGAAAATGAAATTCCCACAAAAGAATAGAGAATTCGTTCATGCATTCTGTTGTAAATTTGATGAAGATGAACAACGTTATTTATGTGTTTCTCGTTCAGTCAACCATCCAAAAGCTCCTGAATGTTCTAAATTTGTAAGAGGTGAAGTTAAAACTGCATTCATGGTAGAAAGAGTTTCAGATATCAAGTGTAGATATTACTATGCTGTAACTGCTGATTTTGGTGGTTGGTTATCTGCTGATTTTTATGCAAATATGGTTAAAGGTCAAAGTGAAAAAATTCATCACGGTTTAATTAAATTAGTGAAACAGAGAGAACAATTGGGAAAGAAGAGACCTGAAAAGGGTGGTTTAGTTCAATCTTTAGATTATTACCTTTCAAAGAAGGATTAAATTATATACTATTATTATTATTAAATTATTATTATTATTACTATTAAATTATTAATGAAAAACTAATTGATTTGGTCTAACTAAGGATGTATTGAAAATTATTTTGTAAAAATTTAGGCGGGTTATTTTTTATTATCATTAAATTAATAACAAAAAAATGAAAAGAACAAATCAAAACACTTCTTCCTCGAGTGGAGGATCGAAAAGTATTATTTTGAATAGGGGAAATGTTCTTATTAAAAAGACATCACAGCAACCATCGATGACTACTAGTAGTAATCAATCAACAAGTAGTGCTACTAGGCTTGGTCCAAAAAGAAATTCATCATTGATTGTTGGCAGTGGAGGAAATTCATCAAATAGGAAAGTCAAAAAGTCTCCAATATCACTAGAGTTTGCATCATGTGTTGATTTTGTAATATCAATTTTAAATCATTATGAATTAAATTGTGGATTGGATAGTTCCGATATCTTGCTAGTATTGAGTGGTGGTGCTAGTGATGGTGATGATAATGATGTTATGGATGATTATTCTAGGCTTCATCAAATAATTCGTTCCATGTACATTACAATATATAATGTATTAATTCTTTATAAATTTAATAAGGTTTCACTTAATAACGAGAAGCATGATTTGGAGAAAATCATCAAATATGTAAATTATGAATTAATGAAATTAGAATATCCTAGAACATTTAAATTAATTACTAAAAATGATCAACAATTATGTACAGAATTATTGAATACTTTAAATTGGTTGATATTATCACATGATCAATTACTTTTCAAACATATTTTGAATATGGATTATTTGAATCAAAATTTAATTAATGGTGAATTGCCGAGTGATCATTCATTGTATTATTTTTTAAAGAATGTAAAGAATTCTTCAAATATTTCACCAAATGAAAAGTTTACAACCATTCAATTAATTCACAAGTTAATAATTAATATCAATAAGATATTCATGATTATGAGTAATTTATATAACAAGACTATGCAATCCTATTTACTAAATATGGAATGTGAAAATATTGGATTTACACCATTTGAATTGAATTTACTATTATTAAATGATCACAGTTCTCAATTATATCAATTGAATAATTTTATTGAATCATTTAATTCAATTATGAAATATTATGAATTACTGATAAATCATGCAACATTCAAAACATACCCACCACATAATACAAATGATATGGATGAATCATCATCTCCAACACAACTTTTAGATGGATTTAGTATTGAATTATTACTTGGTCAACTCGAATCATCAATAGAAAGTTCTAATTCTTTAATTGATGAATTTATTGAAGCATGTGAGATGGAACCAATACCTTCATTATATGGTAATGAATCGATAAGTTCATCTCATTCTACTGGATCATCAATATTGGATAGTGTATTTTATCGATTGAGAATGGAAAAGAATCAAGATACTAATAAGAAACCATCATTTCTCTCACAGAAAAAGAATGATCCTCAATTAACAAATTCACAATCATCCATTGTTCACCATTTGGAAGATTTAGAATCAATGAAGGAATTATTATTGAATGCTATTCATCATTCTGAATAATTATTGAAATATCAAGAATTGAAAACATAATTCAATTGAAATCGTGTGATAATTTAGTTTCTATCACAATAACTTTGATCCTGTTGATACACTCATTCTAAGATCAATAATATGATTTAATCCAACACCATCATTAAAAAATCTTTTAACTCTCCAATTACGAATCGTTTCGTTCTAATTTGAACTCTGAAAAAAAGCCTTTTTGTGATTCTTTTGTTTCACATGTCTTTTCCCATTTTAAAAAAATGGCGCCAAAATCATTATTATCATCACATTATTGGTCCAACAATAACACTAACAATACAATAATTAGAACTTCTTTATCAGCTCCTTGTACAAGTAGTAGTAGTAGGAGCTATACGTGTGTTGAAGCAGATAAAAGATCTTTATGTAACAATAATATATTACAATATCGAATTTCATCATCATCACTGATTAGCCTCCTTTTAATGTTCTCTCTATTTATTATATGTCTTGAATACAACATTATTCATTCACAATGTACTACTACTATTACTACTCCTACTATTACCTCCCACTCTACTACTGTCATTTCTTCCAATAATAATATTATAAAGCCTAATAATAATCCACAACAACAACAACAACAACAAGCCTTGATATTTAATGTAAATAATCATCAATATGACAATCAAGATACTCCTAATAATAATAATAATAATATTCAATCATCATTATCATCCTGTTCATCTCAGACATTAAACAATAATAATAATAATTTAAATAATATATTAAATCATAATAATTTAAATAATTTAAATGAATTTATAATAATTGATAAACCAAAAACAATAACAGATTCCATTTCAACATTAGGTGGTATTAAATATTATAAAACATCATTGAAATATAACA